TCGTCCCACGAAGCGTCGCAAAGCCGCATCTCCAGAACTGCGATGCACCACACGCCACAAGAACTGTTGTCCTGCTGAGTGCACCACTCCACCTTCTCGTAGTTCACCATGTCACCTAGCTGAAGCACCCCTTCAATCACGGTCTGCACGCTTTTTTCAATGACGGTGTAGTTGCTTCGACTTTGTAGAGGGTCGAACATAAAGCATGTCGCCGTCTTCGTGCCCTTGGCGACCGTCCTGTCGATTAAAAACGCCATCCAGTGCCGCTCGATGTGAATGATTCCAATGACACGCTTGTTCTTAGGGTCGCTGGCCCCGAATCCTGCCGCGGTCCTGCGTTTTTGCTCCGGCAACGCAAAGTCGTGATAGCTGGGGCTGATGATGCCTACGTCCGGGTAAGCGTCGCGCAAAGCCATCAGCGACACCAAGATGGACGTGGTATGCAGCCACAGATTCTCACGGAAGTCCAGTAGTTGGTGTCCGTTCACACATTCACCGGGCACGCGATTTACGCTCAGATTGAGCGTTTCGACGTAAGCCTTGTGCTCGTTCTGCAATACACAAGATACTTTGTTAGTTTTGGCGCATCTTCAGTTCAAATGCTGTGAATTGTTTCTTACCTTTGTGGTTGCCCTCGTGTCCGTGAACGGCTCGCGAAGGTCTGCAACACGCCTCTCCACCTCGTCAATCCACTTTGTAGTGCGCATCACCAACGCGAATCGCTGATGCGCCTCCAGGATGCTTGCCATAGCGTCCAGCTGATCAAATGTAGCGTAGCCATAGTCTGGCCAGTAGGCAAGAAGGTCGATGTCCTGCCTTATCTTGATAGCGTCAATAGCCTCCGTCACAATGGGTAGCGGAGGGATACCCTTGATAAACGGAATGTCTTGGTCGATCTTGAAGGCTCGGACGGACAGCGGCCCGGTAACATCAACTTGGGGCAGTACAAGCGCGTCAACCATAGGCTTTGAGTGGAATAGACTGTAGGGTCCGTCAAGCAAAGCGGCAGCATCATCGAATGAAACCAATGTTCCCACTTTTCGTTGGCGGTACTTAGCTGCCAGTTCCAATGCAGCTTCACGGTCTTGTTTAGCTTAGGCACGCTTTCGCTGAGCCTTGGTCATTCCATTGATCACTGGACGCTCCGCAAACGTCCACGTGACTGCCTTTGGGCGTCCTTCTGACGGCTTTCTCGATTCGGCGGAGACTCGTGTGGGTTCGGTAGAATCTTGTAAGGTTTGGTCGGAGGGTGTAGCGTTGCCATCTTCCTCTGCTTCCGCACCCGTTTGAGTTTCTCCATCAGCTGCCACATCGACTTCAACAGCAGTGCTGCAGGACTCCTCCTCACTTCTTTCGATTCCGCCAGTATCTTCAACCTTGGTGGTTTCCTTTGCTCTGGAGGTCACTAGAGAAAGCCCCGTGAATACCGGAACCTCGCGCTCTGCAAAGACAACCACGTCGCCGGAGTTGAGCGCTTCGTAGAAATCCTGAAGCCACTTCAGCGCGATCCGAAATGTGGGTGTAGATTGAAGTGCCATTCTTGCAATGATCTTCTCCGTTGTTGCCTTGGCTTCGATGTACATCGCAGCCCCCGACAAAGCTCGCTCCTTCGCTCGAGACGGACAGCTCCCTTGCGTCAACCCTCCACACGGAATTTCTCCCCAGTCGATGTTGTTTTCTGGACTCTGCACAATCCATCGTGTAGGGAAACAGTGCATCGGGGGCAGTACTGTTTCGAAGTTGGACGTGCTCCGGACGTACATCACGTGGCGGCAGGGTAGCAAGCAGGTCTTCATGAAGATACAGTTGCAGGAATTCGTCTGTACAGCACAGATTACATGTCAGTCGTCAATACCAAAGATAACTGAATAGACCAAAAGTATACCATAACTTGAATAGCTTACCCTCGTGTTGACTTCATGCACTTCTCCAGACCTTGGGCTCGTGACAGTGGCTCGTCCTGGTGTGTTCAGCTCAACCGTGTAGTCTGCGTTCGGACCGGTTGCCAAGGTGTGCTGTTTGGCGACCAATTCGAAGGCAAACGGGCTCACCTGCAAAGCCAGCAGCGTCAGCTCGCGGTCCTCCGAATCCCGCGAAGGCCGGCTCCCAACTCGATGGTATTCTGCGAGATACTGCTCTTCGGCATAGTGCTGCAGCGTCATCAGCGTAGACAGGAGTTGGTCGATAGTGAAGGAGTCGTTAATAACATCCTTTATCTTCCCCCACTTGGACTCGATCCTATTGTTGGTGTTGTTCGTCAGGTGCGGCGTGTTGCCGCGCTTGTAAGAAACCCACTCGTCCTGGTTACTGTCCCAGTTTGCCATGAACGTGCGGTACAACTCGTGTGATATATCGCCTCCAAGCAACTCCAACACAGCTCCATTTGCATCTTCATACTCGTCCTCGTTGCTTGCGTACACCATCAACCGCATCAGGCTCTTCACCGACTTCTTCACCGATGGCGCCAGACGTGCAGCCTGCTTCTTCAGCCAGGTAACCACATGCCACTGACACAAGAGTTGCCGAGCGTTGGGCAGCTCTTCTCGCAGAACTTCTTTCTCATGAGCAGCCTTGTCCGTCATCACCACTTGGGTTTTGGCCCAGTCAGGGTTGTTTGCTTTGAAGATCTCCATCACTCGGCGCAGATTGTCTTTGTTCTCACTGTCTACAAGTGCATGATGGACATATTGACCCTATGATAAGGTTAGAATAGTGTATTAAAGTACAGCACAACAAAAAACTTGTCTACGTCAGTACCTTTCCGAACACGTCGTGCACTACGAAGCTGAACATCTTGTAGCGGTTCACGTTCGTGTCGTGCGTGGCATCAACGAGAATCACCTCCGGAAACGCTTTGAACAAGCGCTTCATTCTTCGGACTGGAACATGGCGACGCGAGCAACGTTGGAGTCGCTATCCACAAGAATTTGAGCAGAGTTGCCACCGTGCTGCAGACAAATCTCTTCCATCACTGCAAATGCGCGTTGCGCATCAGTAAGACCGGCTTGCTCGGTCAGTTTGTATCGCTGCACCATGTTGTGGACGTCCTTCCGCACGGTTTTCTTGCCTACAACATACCACCAAATATCCACAGCAAATAGTTAGGAACAAACCACAATCACACAGAAAGTGATAAGACTTTACCTGTACGTTCACGCAGGTATTGCAAGATCCCGTGCGTGTTCGCCCCAGCCTTATGCAGCACTGCCACATCCTCCGTCAACTGCGGGTCCTTCACCGTCCGGTTCTCCGCGCAGCTCTCCCAAAGATGCTTGTTCAAGTCTTGATTGTGTTTGCCGGTGGCGTTCACGCGTAAACGCCAAGTTCCGCTGAACGTGGCAGCGACACGCACATTCAATCTTGCCTTGCACTTCGTGTCGCGAACGTTGTTGTGGTGCCGCTTTCCCTTGCCCTTCGGTTCGTAGGGCTGACCATGCGTGCAGACCAGCGTTTTCGAGTACGTCACCCATTCCGCCGGAACCAAGGTGATCGGTTTCCGGGCCTTCTTTGCGGATCGCTTCCTTTCCTTGTCCTTTTCGATAATTTGCTTGTTCCGCAGGAAAACTGACGTACTTGTTCGCATGGAAAACTGCTGGAATGTCTGAGCCTGGAAGTCGTCGAACGAGGTATGGAACGTATCCCACGAGTCGAACGTGGTGCTGAATCCGTAGAACCACACAGGCACAACTCGCTTCACGCGAAGGTCATACGTGCGGGACCAACTTCGGTGAGATTTCGGTTCGGGTACAAACCGAATCTCGTCCCCTTCGTCGTCTTCCTCGCTGTCCACTTCGTCTGCGCGGTCTCCACTCCCGACGTCACCTTCTTCCTCTTCGACGTTGCCCTCATTCCCACGCCAGTCTTTGTCGTCTTCGTCAGCATCCTCGCTCTCTTCACCGTCGTTTTCAGCGGCCGATTCGCGCTCTTCATCATCGTTGTCTTCGTCATCTTCGTCACTGGCGTCTGGGTCGGTGCCGAACGACGGGGTCTTCTCCTCGTAGTCGGAGTCGCCCGTGCCGCCAGGAGACAGCTCTTCGTCGGCCTCGTCCAAAGCGGAAATGGCTTCGGCAAGGGCGCCGCCGTCAGAATCCGAATCTGGCTCTATGCCGAACATCTCGCGCGCGGCACGTGCTTCCCACCGCTCGTACATGCTCTGCTCGCGGGCTTCAGCCCGGGCCTTCTGCCCAGCCTTCTTCCCATCTTCACTTCGCAGCATGGCGGTAGCACTCCGAGTGCGTTTGTGCCTCCCGTCCATCGCCAGTCGGATCTCCTGCTCGTCGCGGCACGCTGCGCTTCCAGCACACCGCGATTGTGCACTGGCAGCGGGGGGGGGGGGGGGAGATCGCGCAGCGTCCTGTCCGTTTCATGCCGAAGTTCGCGCTGGCGCTGCCGACTCCGACTCCGCTCCGACTCAGCACTGTCGCGCTGCGCACGCGTCACATGGGCGTCTTCGGGGCCGGGACAGCGCTTCGATGAGCCAGGCTAATAGAAGCAAATGTCAGTAACACATATTCCTTACCCATGACTCGCATGTAAGCGTACCGTGCCAGTTGTGCGCGCCATTCTTGTGCAGGGACCTTCACTCTTGCTTCTTTCTCTCTTGGGGCCAATCGACGAACGCCATCCAAAACGGGGGGCGCGGGGCGGCTCTTATTTTTCGAAAAATCAGTGCCTCCGACGGTAAGGTAATTTATTGTCCTGACAAGTTCAACCCGAACCTCGAAAACTGGCTATATCTGGTCTACCAAATCTTCACAGGATTCGACTGCAATCACACTGAACAGGGAACACCGTTTTGGTGGTAGCAGCGTGTGCCGTCTGCATGCTTGGACGAATCACCAATGGCATGCGCCCTGTACACCCCCTTGACCTCAAGGATTATGCATCCCATCTTGAATTTATCATGATCATGTCCGGCTTTTTAACGGATCACGGACCGCAGCCGTTCATCATTTCCCGATTCTAGCTCACGCCCCTCAGCCCCCTGGACGCCTTGAGCCATGCAAGTGTATCAACTCTTCCTTGTAGCTGCGGCTTCGATCCTCATCAGTGGTCAAACGCTTGCTGCTACGGACTCTACTCAAGCGGTCGTCTCGGGGGCTACCACGAACATTGAGCCCGCACCAGTACAGACCGACGCCAAGCGTTTCATGAGGGCTCTTAAGACAACTGCAAAGGAAGACGACGAAGAGAGAGGGCTTGTGGCGGACGGCTTGAGATTCGTAGCTAAAAAGCTCAAGAAGATGGGGTGGACGAGCCTTGGGAACAAATTTCTGTTCCAAGCTTGGAAACGCGAACAGTTGACCACAGCGCAGGCGGCAAACGATATTAAGCTCATGACGTCTCCCGGTCTAATGGGCCAGCGCGATTTGGATCTCTACGGAAGGTATGCCACAATGATGGCGAATGCCAAGAAGGTGACCCAGTAGTACGTTACGAGAGTCAATGAAAGATGCCATCCCAGCACTGTTTTGGTGCCAAGTCAGTAGCTATTGTACTATAGACCTACTGGCTTAGTACACACAGTAAACGGAATGTCATCTTTCTTTTTAGTCGTTTCCTTTCACGCTTTTGCCAGGCCGGAAGCCCATTTTGGAATTAGCGTCAAACGATGAACGAGGAGGAAGATTCATATACTACCGAGCTGAAGCAGCGCTGGGGGTTCCTCACTTCGTGGTGGGAGGCGTTAAAGCCCTGTATCGCGTACGCCTTCCCTGAGACTGCGCGCACCGAAGAGCATGTCTGGATCGCCGCCGACATCGTCCTCGAAGTCACGATGCCAAACCGTCGAGGCTCTAGCCGAGATGAAACAACTTTTCGGAAACAATTCCAAGAGGTACAGGAGGCGCTGGCGCTGCTCGTAGCAGTGGAACACGCAGACCCCCGCGCTTACGTCCATATCCTCACGCGTTGTTGTGGACTGGTGATGGGGAGGTTTGGCGAAGAACTTAAGACAGTTAATATCGAGACGCGGTTTTTGCCGGATGTGGATGTAGCCAAGTCTGAAAATCAGACCGATGACGGGGCTACCGTGTACGATATCGTACGATTTTGCGGTACGCATCAACGTGAGCACCCCAGCGAGGAATACCTGGCAGCTTTGAGTCAGATCGCAGCTCTGAACGAGAAGTTGAAACCAGGAGAGCCTGGCGCGGATATTACAATCCCAGTGAAGTTGCAGTTTTCGAGCGACATGAAAGGAATTCCTGCTTGGGCATCTCGCGATGACGCCAGTATGTTTTCAGATATCACAAGGGCTGAAAAGGAGATTGAGACGCAGTGGACGACGTACAATGAGGAGGAGGAGAAGGCTCTGGAGCCTGGAACACTTCGCTGTACTTTTGTTCTGGAGCCGATGGCAGCAGATTTCAACGGATTAGGCTCCCGCACCGAGTTCGGCACCTCAATGTCTCCATGGATTGCATGTGCGATTGGAGACCTGCTGAGGAACAACGTGTGGTTCTCTTTTCTTAAGGTCACATTGAGTATTGAGCGAACAGATCGAGACCACGAGCTTGAGGCTCGAAAGTCTCTCGGCAGGCATCTTTGCATGTAGTGACCAGAAACGCTGAGCATGCTCATATTTGTTACTACTTGGAGCGTCCTTCGACAACTCAAGATCGAGCATTTTCACAGCTGAAAGTTTTGAAACTCACGTGTGAGGCGACAATGCCGGCTTGGGACTTTGAGGCGATGTGTTCGGCGCTGGTGGCGACCAGATCGACGAGGAAGCTTGCGCTGGAACTGGACATCGACACTGAGGACCCCACGAACCGGAATCACTGGTGGAAATGGCTCGCCTACGCTCTGTTCTCTAAGCGAGCTCGTGCTTGCTCCTCACTTAGAACTCTGATTTTGCCAGAGCTAGGGAGGCTGACTGTTGCTGATGTACACGCTTTCGCTTCCGTCCTGGCGTCAGAGCACTCTGAGGAAACGCTATGTGGCACACCTCGTGGGGCGATTGAGGAGCGAGACGCAACGCTGACGCCTGGCTCTCCGATTCGGTGGGAGTTTGATCAAGTAGGACAGCCTGTTGTACACTCTCGGCTTCTTACACTGGACATGTCTATCGAGTCCGTGCGGACGTTCAGCGACGACGGCACGAGCGAGTGGTGCCGGGTTTGGTCATTGCCAAGTCCAGCGCTGCAACTTGGAATTCAATGGCGAATCGCGTACAAACAGCAGCCAACTGGGTATCACGTCGCTCACGCTTGAGTTCCCCGAGTCGGACATTGCGACGACGGTGATGGTAGCTCCATTTATCAAAGTGATTGGGCCTTCGCTGACTATGTTGACACTGAGCGAGCCGCAAAAAAAACGTGCACGTGATTTCGACGAGAACGTGGTTATCCAGAGCTGTCCCAATCTGCTGGAACTGACACTTGTGAGAGACCTCATTGAAGTACAGCTCGACTTTCGTGAATACCGAGCGACGAAGACGCCAGTACCCCAGTTGACTTTCTCGTGGTTTTCTGTTCCGAAACTCGTCGGCTACCTGAGCGACCCCGAGAATCCTCTGACGAGGTGTACCAGACGCCTGAAGGTTTCTCTACAGAAATGTATTGTTCCAGTTGCCGATCTCGAATCTGGCAGAGCACCAAATTTCCGATACTACGTGGATGCAGTTGTGGAAATGCTGGAGAAGAACGACAGGCTGGAGTATCTGTCGGTGGAGTCGCCCTACATCAGATACGTTTCAGATTTCAAAAACTTCCACCTCAAGCCGATCCGTCGACAGCTCGAGCCACTTCCGAAGAAGTGCATGCTCGCGTTCTTGAGTGTCCTCGAGTCAAGAACATCAACGGATTCAACAGAGAGGATGGAGGCTCAAACGTCCGAGGCGATGGTTGGGGATATTGATCAGCATGTGGTGGCGAAGAGTTTCTCGTTTGCGGCCCTACCCGTTCTCCGCGAAGTTTATTTCGAGTCGAATCAGGGGTTATCATGTCTGTGGATGAAGGTGGACAACTACAGTTGCAAGGGCGACACGGACATTTCTTCCAGGCAGAGCCCTCTCAGCAACCTCAACCAGATCATTATGATGAACAAGTACTAGAGAGACTGATGTGGCCCCCAGCTGCGGTTTGAGAGTGTCGAGCGCTGGAACTTGTGCATGTTGAAATGCTGGCGCTTTTGGAGACGATGGGTCAACGTGGTTTTGATGAGGAAGCGCCAGGTGCTGAGTATGTGCATCAGTTCATGTCGAAATGCTGGTGCTTCTGTGGTGTAGTGGTTACAAGGCAAAATACAGGCTCGACACCGTAGAGCACAATGCAATGCTCACTTTTTCGTTAGTAGTACGACAAAGTTTTTTTTTAAGGTACGTGGATATGTTGGGGATAATAAGCCGGCCTGGATCTCCGCTTGAATGACGCTTTAGTCTTCATAGCACAAGAAATATCTCGCGCCAAGTTAGACATGCGATCGATGTTGCTCCGTTTGCCAGTTGAAGTACCTTGCAGTACTGCTAATATCAAGTCTCCGAGTAACGTTAGATACAGCTTTTCGGTCTCGTTCTTTTACTCCCTTTCTCTCTGCCCAGGTTCATTTTCCGTTAGCAGCGTCGCTGGGGCCTTGGTGGGCTGCGTTAAAGCCCTGCATCGCGTGCACCTCCTCTGAGACTGCGAGCACCAAGGAGTATGTTTGGACCGCCCCTGACATTGTTCTCAAAGTCACCATGCCAAACCGTCGAGGCTCTAGCCAAGATGAAGCCGCGTTTCGGAAACAATTCCAAGAGGTACAGGAGGCGCTGGCGCTGCTCGTAGCAGTGGAGCACGCAGACTACCACGCGTACGATTATATCCTCGCTCATTGGAGTGGAGTCATTCGAGGCAGATTTGGTGAAGAACTCAACGCAGTCTGCTTTGAGAGGAAGTTTTTGCTGGATTTGGATGTAGCCAAGTACGAGAACCAGACCGGCGTCGAAGCTATCGCGTACGACCTCGTACGATTTTGCGGTACACGTCAACGCGAACACCCCGGCGAGGAATATCTGTCGGCTTTGCGTCAGATCGCAGCTCTGGACAAGAATTTGAAGCCAGGGGAGCCTGGCGTGGACATCAAAATCCCAGTGAAGTTGCAATTTTCGAGCCATATGAGTGGAATGCCGGCTTGGAATTCTCGTAATGACGCCAAGATACTTGTAGGTGTCGCGGAGGCTGAGAAGGAGATTGAGACGCAATGGACGACGTACAATGGGGGAGAGGAAAAGAAGGCGCTGGAGCCTGGAACACTTCGCTGTACTTTTGTTCTGGAGCCGATGGCGGCTGAATTCGACGCATTCGGCTCTCGCACGGAGTTCGACGGCCTGTAGGCTACGCGAGTTGCACAAGCGATTAGACTTCTATTGAAGAACGGGGTGTGGTTCTCCTTTCTGGACATCACGTTGAGTATTGATCGTACGGGTCGAGGCCACGAGCTTGAGGCTCGGAAGTCCCTCGGATTCCTTCTCACTCATCTGCTGACAAGCAAGCGCCACGACCCGAAGCATGCTCATATTAGTTACCACTTGGAGCGTCCTTCGATAGCTCAAGATCCAGGATTCTCGCAGCTGAAAGTTCTGAAACTCACGTGTGAGGCGACAATGCCAGCTCGGGACTTTGAGGCGATGTGTTCGGCGCTGGTGGCGACCCGATCGACGAAGAAGCTTGCGCTGGAACTGGACATCGACACTGAGGACCCCACGAACCGGAATCACTGGTGGAAATGGCTCGCCTACGCTCTGTTCTCTAAGCGAGCTCGTACTTGCTCCACGCTGAAAACCCTCATCATCCCTGAATTAGGACGGCTGACAGTAGCTGACTGCGTGCTTTCACTTCTGTTCTAGCATCGGAGCACCAGGAGGAGACGTTGTTTGGCACTGCTCGTGGTGTGATTGAGGAGAGAGGCGCACGGGTCTTCGATTAGACGGGAATTCGACGGACAAGGAGAGGCTGTTGCAAATTCTCGTCTACTTACGATGGATACGTCTACCAAGTTTGTGCGGACGCTCAGTGACGACGGTAACAGCGAGTGGGTGGAGTTCTCATTGCGGGATTTGGTCGTTGTCAAGTTCAGCGCTGCGACTTGGAATTCGAGCGTGAATCGCAAGCAAACCGGAGTGCGAGTGGTATCACGTCGCTTACACTTGGTTTCCCCGAGTCGCACATTGCGACGGTGTTGGCGGTACCTCCGTTGATTGAAGCGATTGGAACTTCCTTGAAGGTGTTGATAGTGAACGGCCCAAAAATTGTCCATCCACGAAATGTTGACGAGAACGCGATCATCCGAAGCTGCCCCAATCTACTGGAGCTGACACTTGCTAGGGAGATAATTGAGGTCCAGCTCGACTTTCGCGACTACCGTGCGACCAAGTCACCGATACCAAAACTGACTTTCTCGTGGGTTTCGGTTCCAGAATTCGTCGGCTATCTCAGTGACCCTGAAAATCCTCTGACCAAGTGTGCCCGCCGCCTGAAGGTGTCTCTACAAACGTGTACTGTTCCTCTGGAGCAGCTCGAATCTGGCAACGCACCAAGCTTCCGGTACTATGTGGATGCGATTGTGAGTATGCTGGAGAGGAACGAAAGGCTGGAATACCTGTCCGTCGAGTCACCCTATATCAGATACTTTTCAGATTCCGGAAGTTTCCACCATAAGCCAATCTTTAGACAACCCAAGCCACTTCCGAAGAAGTGCATGCTCGCGTTCTTGAGTATTCTCGAGTCGAGAACATCAACGGATTCAACAGAGAGGATGGAGGCTCAAACGTCCGAGGCGATGGTTGGGGATATTGATCAGCATGTGGTGGCGAAGAGTTTCTCGTTTGCGGCCCTACCCGTTCTCCGCGAAGTTTATTTCGAGTCGAATCAGGGGTTATCATGTCTGTGGATGAACGCGGACAACTACAGCTACAAGGGCGACACGGCCGTTTCTTTGATGCGTACCACAGAAGCGAACGAGATCGTACGTGATAGCTTCGACGTCGTTATCCACGTCCACATCGAGCAGGAACTCCACCGCCATCCTCACATCGCCTCGCTGAATTCCACATCAATGAGTGAGGATAAAGTCATAGTCTGCGTGTTCGACTGCTGCCAGCAGCAACAGTGTCTCTTCAACTTTCTGGAATTGGTGCCGAAACGCTGCTTCATCTTGGCTCGAGCCTCGACGGGTTGGCATGGTGATCCGGTGAACGATGTCAGGGGCGGTCCAAATATGCTCGCGAGCGCTGTCAGCCGCAGGCAGGGTGTGACCAATGCAGGACTTCAACGCAGCCCACCATGGAGATAGAAACCCCCAGTGTTGCCTCATTTCGGTAGTGAAAGCATTGTCGGCCATCGTTGTATGCTGACGGAAGTCCGGAGAATGAGCGAAACCGCTCAAAAGTACCTTTCAGAAAACAAAACAGAGTTTTTTTTACCAAAGTCCTGCTTCGTAGGTTCCTGACCTAACTTAAGTTAACCAAAGAATGAATACTACACTGTGCTCTACGGTGCAAGCCTGCATTCAGCCTTGCAAGCATTGCCCCACAGAAGCACCAGTGTTTCAACACGCAGAGTCGAGCACTAGACACCCTCACACCGCAGCCTGGGGCCACACCAGTCTCTCCAGCACTTGTTCATCATAATGATCAGGTTGAGGTTACGAGGAATACCTGGCGGCTTTGAGTCAAATCGCAGCTCTTGACAAGAATTTGAGGCTGGCGTGGATCTCAAAATCCCAGTGAAGCTGCAGTTTTCAAACTACATGAATACCCGACTCTTCCTCTCGCGATGATGCTAAACTACTTTCCGATATCGCAAAGGCTGAGGAGGAGGTCGAGACGCAGCGGAAGGAATGCGCTGGGAGGGAGGAGAAAAAGGCTTTGGAGCCAGGGACACTTCGCTGAACGATTGTACTGGAGCCGATGACTGCAGATTTTATCGGGTTAGCGCCCGACGCAGGGATGTCTCCATGAATTGCAAACGCGATTGGGGAATCTAGTGGAGAACGTGTGGCTTTCATTTCATGATATCCCTTTGACTATTCAACGTCCAGACCAGGAGCTTGAGGCTCGCAAGTCCCTCTGGTTCCTCCTCCGTCGTCTCCTAAGCAACAATCGCCACACATTGAACCAAGGCCACACTCGTTACCACCCCGGACATCCACTGACAGCTCAAACGCCTCAAGATTCGAAGTTTTCGCGGTTGAGATTTCTTAAGTTGATGTGTGAGGTCACAATGACTTTGAAGCCATGTGCTCTGCGATGGTGCATACACGAACGACGCAGAAGCTCGCGCTAGAGTTGGAGATCAACCCTGGCGACCGCACGAACCGAAATCACTGGTGGAAATGGCTCGCGTACGCTCTGTTCTCTATGCGAGCTCGTGCTTGCTCCTCACTCAGAACTCTGATTATACCATTCTTAGGGGAGCTGACCGGTGTTGATGTTCGTGCTTTCACTTCTGTACTAACGTCGGAGCACCCAGAAGAAACGTTGTATGACACTCCTCGTGGTGTGAAGGAGGAGCAAGACGCAACGCTGGCACCGGGAGCTCCGATTAGGTGGGATTTCGACGATCAAGTGCAACCCGTCTTGGACTCTCGTCCTCTCACACTCTACACACCCATCTATTTTGTGAAGACGTTTAGTGATGATGGTACAATTGAGTGGGTACACGCCATGATTGCCGGATTTGGTCATTGCCAAGTCCAGCGGTGCAATCTGGACTTCCATGGGTAAAACTCGTGCGAATGGGAGTTCAACAGGTATCACCTCGCTTACAATTGACATCCAGTCGGAGGAAATAGAGAATTTTGCGATAGTTCCTTTCCTCAAATCGATCAGGTCTTCGCCAAAGTGCTGATACTGGAAGGTCCGACGAGTGTCTATACCGGACGAATGGACGAGAACGCAGTTATCTAGAGTTGCCCCAATCTGCTGGAGTTGACGCTTGCTAGGGAAATAATTATGGTGCAGCTTGACTTCCATGAATATCGCGCATCGAGTACTCCGATACCGGAGCTGACATTTCCGTGGGTTGACGTACCAGACTTCGCTAAATATCTGAGCGAGCCTGGAAATCCTCTGACGAAGTGTGCCCGACGGTTGAAGATTTATCTATCCCAATGTTTTGCTCCTGTCGCCCACCTCGAATCTGGCAACGCAACAGATTCCGCGTACTAGTTGTGAGCATGCTGGAGAAGAACCAAAGGCTGGAATATTTGTCTATCGAGTTATCCTATCTCAGAGACGTTTCAGATTTCGGGAGCTTCCATCTCAAGCCGATCTTTCTACAGCGCAAGCCACTGCCGAAGAATTGTATGCTGGTATTCTTGGGTGTACTTGAGTCGAGAACGTCGAGAACGTCGAGGGAATCAACGAAGAATAGAAACCGAAGACTGCAGGATCTGAGACGAGTGGTGCGGACCTCGTTCGTCATGTGGTGGCGAATATTTTCTCGTTTGCGTGCCCGCCTGGGCTCCGTGAAGCGTATTTTGAGTCCCTATAGCAGTGTATATTAATCAACAAGACCAGGAAGATCTAACGGTACTAGGGCGGTATGGAGACGTTTCCATGAGGGAACAACTCCAGCAAGCTCAAGCTGCTCAAAAAGATCAATGGAACGAATCAGAGGGTATCATCGAGCGTTTATGCTGATAATGCGTTGCTGAAAAGGCTGGTGCTTCAGAGTCTGCATAACTAACGCGAAAAGTTATCGATGCACGTACAGCAGGCAAGGCAGTGAGAGCTTGATCAGGGAAGGGGACGAAGTGTCCGTATAATGAAGCGTTTGATGAAAAGGAAACCAGTTTTTTATTTTTCTTCTTTTGAAGGCAGTACTCAACAATATCTCACGTTAGCTACCTACTGCTGCGATGTCATACACACATTCCCCCGTGTGTGTCCCCACTCACACTTACTTCTCGCGACGCGAGTCGTACTCTGCGAGGATCTCCTCGGCCGACTTGCCCGACGTCTCCGGCACGAGCTTGAGGCCCAGCAGGAAGAAGACGGCCAGCAGCACCACGAACGGCACGTACGCGTAGTCGCCCAGCGCGTCCGAGATGTACGGGTAGGCCACGCCCACGATGAGGTTGCAGAGCCAGTTGATCCCGATGCAGAGCGACGACGCGTGGGCTCGGATCGAATCTGGGAAGATGTCGGCTGTCATGACCCACACGAGCGGTCCCAGCGTCACGCCGAACGCGATCACGTAGAGCGCCGTGAAGACGATGGACAGCGCCGACACGTTGATGACGAACGCCACGGTCATGAGCACGGCCATGACGAACATGCCGCCGAGGCCCCAGAGGATCATGTTGCGCGCGCCGAAGCGGTTGGCCATGACGCCCGTGAAGAAGGCGGGCCAGATGTTGATGAAGTCGATGATGAGCGTGCCGATGCGCGAGTCCGAGATGCCCGCCGACTTGAAGATGGAGCCCGAGTAGTAGAAGACGGCGTTGATGCCCGAGAGCTGCTGCGCGCACGAGAGCAGGATGCCACACGCCATCTGCATGCGGTAGCGAGGGGCAAACATGGACTCCTTCTTGGGGGCGTCGCTGGCCTCCTCAACGGCGTCCGGATTCTTGTTGACCTCGAGCCACGACATGGCCGTGGCCACGTGCTCCTCGCCGTAGAGGCGAGCGATGACCTGCTTGGCCTCCTCCGTTCGGCCCTTGGTCAGCAGCCACGCCGGACTCTCGATGCAGAACTTGGGGGCCAGCACCAGATAGATCACGGCGAGGATGCACGGGAAGACCGCCAGGTAGCGCCAGCTCGTGTTGGTGAAGAAGAAGGTGATGGCCGGGAACAAGATGCCGATGGTCGTGAAGATCTGCAGCCCCAGGCCCAGCATGTTGCGCATGTGCGGAGGCGAGAGCTCGTTCACGTACGCGCCGATGGTGCCCGTGGCCGTGCCTGAGGCCAGGCCCGAGATCAAGCGGCCCGCGGCGAAGGCCCAAATGTTGGACACCGACGCCTGCACTACACCACCCACGAACATGAAGACGCAATTGCCCATGAGCGCCTTCTTGCGGCCGTACTTGTCGCTGAAGTAGCCGCAGCAGAGTGAGCCGATCATGGCGCCGAAGATCCACGCGTTCACGGCGAACGTCCACTGCACCTTGGAGTGGCCAGGGAACATGAGGCACGTGAACTCGGCCACAGGGCGCGCGTCGCACTGGTCTTCGTCGTTGTACTGCGACAGGTTGGTCTGCGAGGTGGACCAGCCGCTCTGGAAGGGCTACAACCACGACAGGAACGCCGTCGTGTACAGGATCGCCTTGGGCTTGATCAGACGCGCGGCCGCCTTGTTGGCCTCGTCGAACGCCGTTGTCGCCTTGGGGGTCGAGGCCTCCTTGTAGCTGTCCGCCATGCTTGCTCGCTCTGCTTTGCGTTGCTAGAAGACACTTGGGTCGATGCCAGCAAATTGGAAAGTGAGCGGCTTCGGAGTTGACTGTCTCGGCGTGAAACGACCGACAAAGCGAAGGGACTTGGACGTGCAGGGTGTGTGCGCAGTGTAGATAATGTACTGCTGGAAAGGCACAGGAATCCAGGAAAGAAATGATGCTCGTTACGAGAACTGACTGCGCATTGCGACAGTCGCTCGTTGCGTTGATCGGGACCTAGCAACGACGAGTTTACTTTAGTCTTTGTACAGTACTGTACAGTGCAGTCCAACAACCGACAAACATCGAGACTTTGTACTGTTAACTGCAATCGCAGTTTGCTTCTGATCGACGCTACTCGTGAGGGCAACAAATCTGGCGACGAAATATTATATTAAGTACTCGAAACGCCTCCGAGAGCTAGAGCAAACTCGAGCCTCTGTCTAGACTACTAAAAAATCGTGATACCGTGGCGGCGAACCCCGCTTCCCGCTCGATCTCTGTGCTTGCCTTGCTCACCTCTTCGTTGACACAGTGATGAGTTTTCTGAAGTTCGTCCGTCTTTGTCCGAAAAGCCTCCAAACACCACGGTACTGTACCACCAGCACCGGCGGGCTCGACGCTTGTACTGTAACTTACTGTACGTACAATCCGGCAAGTCCAGGACCTCCATTGCAAGCAAAGGGAGTGGACATTGCGGTACGTATGGTACTATGGCACTGTAGATACACGACCTTGTTCGGGCACTAACAGTACCTCGTTTTTGCTGCACTGTGTGCGTCGTGTTATGGGCGTGATGGATGACAAACTCGGTCGGTCTAGAAACAGGCCGGATGCGTTCACGATGTGCTTCAGCGGGGGAGTTTATTGATCAAACGTATCTTCTTGCTTGAAGTTTGATAGCTGTCGCAGCTTCAGACGCTGCAACTTTGGCCCTCTCCGCGTCGGCCAGCTAAGCGATTTGCCGGATCGCGACCTCAAGCGGCAACGCATGGTGCAGATCTCCTCAACGAAGAAATCAAGTGGAGGAAGCACTTTCTTCAGTGACTCCGACTTGTTAGCTTGTGAAGTTGCAGCGGTACACACTACAGCGCTGGACAGGGCAGCTTTGGAATCTGGTGATGTAGCGCATCAGTTAGAGCGTGTTCGCCAGGTAGCTGGAGATGGAGATGGCCTCTCATCAACTCTATTTCTTGTCTTTTGATTGGTCAAAATAGTTTAGTTCACAACGTGACAACTGGAGAATTTCCCCGTCTCCTTCTCCAGCTCCCAGAGGTGGAGAAGGAGAAAGTAGCTGGAGATTGAGGCAGTTCAGCCGCACAGACAATGGACGAAGAGGAAGCTGTACTGGTTGAGAATCCGACGATGCGCCGCGAGGCCCTAAGGAACAGATTCGTACCGTGACCTCACTGCACTTTGAGCCCATGCTACAGTCAGCCGCGTATGCAAGTTGGTTTGAAGACAATCTTCGCTGCACCAAGCCGACTTTCCCACGGATTGCTGGTTTACTACGAGATCAAGGTGTTCTGTTTGCTGCTGCCAAAGTACGGCAGCATAGCTTTGAGAAGAAAGTTGCAGCCGCGCTTTACTTTTTAGGCTCAACTGGTGGGTACCGAGAGGTCGGTGGTGCTATGGGTATGTCACGGAGCTACGTAATGGAGATTACGACCGAGGTGGTGCGCGTCTTACGAGCAATGGCGGCGGCTGTCATTTCGTTTCCACGCAGGAGAGAGGACTGGGATGCGATCGAGTCAGGTTTCGCTGCGCGTCATGGCTTACCTGGTGTGGTGGTCGCCACTGGCTGACGGAAACGGAGGCGCAGCTCTCGGAGCGTCATCGGCAGCTTGGTCTTGCCACGAGTCCGGTCTCGGGCACAGCCGACGAAGAAACAGCAAAGTAAGGAGAAGGAGAGCGAGTCGTTGCAGTTGCACTGTGATTGGCTAATTTTACCTAGATGCGCTCTGTTGTAGCGAACAAGCTGGAGATGGAGATGCACCAACTCCCTGCAGATATCCATCTCCAGCTGCGTAGCGAACACGCTCTTACGAGATAGTGAGAGCACAGTATCTGCAACCACTGCGAAGCGATGCCAACTTGCAATTAACAATCGTTGGTGCATTAACTGGGGCCGCATGCTTGTAGTCCCGTGTTATTTTAGCTGGATGTGCACTAGAATCCGTGACGATTGTTTCTACTTGCTTCAAGCAACAACACGAATCACTGCAAAAAATACAAAAATGAAACCAGCAAGTTTTTGTATCCGGGATTTCATGTACCGCAGCCTAAAAGCAATCGCACACGGTTGCCACACAACAAAAGTGCATCAATTGCCACTCGTGTTTCACTCGAAGCCGCACAATTCAACAAAAGATGCTCGCTCAGCTCATGTGACCAATTGGACTGAGCTCTGTTTAGTCTTCTTCTATTTCCTGTTTGCCGTGTAGACCTGATTAAGGTCGTTGGTCTTGTTGATATTGGGGTCTCTCGGCGACTTGCCCGTGTGGTCCAAAGAGCAGTTCTCGTCCTTGTCGATCGACATACAGAAGTTGCTGCGGAGACTCGTAATATACTTGACGCAGAACTGGTAGGGCCGCGAACGAGAAAATCCTCCTCACCAAACGACGGTCGAGTTCTGCAACAGTCGTTGCTGATTCTTCAGTCTTCTGCTTCTTCTTCGTTGATTCCGTTGACCCTCTCGAAGCAAGAACACTCAAGAACGCGAGCATACACTCTCTCGGTAGTGGCTTGCGTTGTCGATAAATTGGCTTGAAGTGGAAGTCCGTGACATCTGATACAAACCTGTAATACGGAGACTTCACGACACGTACTCCAGTCTTTGGTTTCTCCCCAGTATTTTCACAACTGCATTCACGTAGTCCGGAAAACATTGGTCCATTGCCAGATTCCAGATCAGCAACAGGAACAAAACACTCGAGTAAAGAAACCTTCAGGCGGCGGGCACACTTCGTCAGAGGATTTTCGGGAGCACTCAAGTAGTCAGCGAGTTTTAATACGTCAAACCACGGAGCCGTCAGCTCCGGTATCGGGGTATTCGTCGCGCGATATTTGCGGAAGTCGAGCTGGACCTCAATTATATCCCTAGCAAGTGTCAGCTCGAGCAGATTCGGACAGCTCTGGATAATTTCGTTCTCATTAAATTCGCGCGAATAAACTTTCTTCGGACCGTCCAGTACCAGCGTTCTCAGCGAAGGCCCAATTGCTTTGATAAGCGAGGATAGCGTTAAAGTCGCCACGTTATCCGACTCAGGAAACCCAAGCGTAAGCGACGTGATACCACCAGAACCCCTGATTGCGGGCGGTTCATCATGGAATTCCAAATCACGGCGCCGGACTTGACAACGCCCGAACCCGGCAATGAGAATGTTCACCCAGTCGCTGGTGTCATCGTCACTGAAGATCCGTACAAACTCAATTGGCGTGTCCAGCGTGAGAAAATTGGACTGGACTCCCTCATCGAAATTCCACCTAATTCGAGCTCCACACATCAGCGTTGCGTCCTTCTCCCCCATCACGCCTCGAGACGTGCCACATAACGTCTCCTCTGGATGCTGCGACGCTAATACGGAAGTGAATACACGCACATCAGCACCAGTCAGACGTCCTAGTCCAGAGATGACGAGGGTTTCGAGTGTGGAGCACGCTCGAGCGCGTCGGGAGAACAATCCATAAGCGAGCCATTTCCACCATTGCTCGCGGTTCGTGTGATCGGAGGGGTCGATCTCCAATTCTAGCGCAAGCTTCTTCGTCGTTCGCGTCAGCACGAGTGCCGAGCACATTGCTCCGAAATCCCGAGCGGGCATTGTCGCCTCACACCTCAATTAAGAAATTGCAGCGGCGAATTCCCCGTAACTTGAGAATTTTGATCTGTAAGAGCATGTCCGAGAGGGTACCTAATACGGCCTTGGTCATTACTGCTCAGTAGACGTCTGTCGTACAGCGAAGTGTCCCTGGCTCCAAAGCCCTTTCCTCCTCACCCTCAGCGTATGCCGCCCACTGCGTCTCGCGTCCGCCTTTGCGATATCTGATAGTTTCTTGGCGTCATCACGTGAGGCCAAGTCGGATATTACTCTGGTGTGGCTTGAAAACTGCAGTTTCACCGGAATTTTGATATCCACGCCCGGCTCCCCTGGCTCGAAGTTCTTGTCAAGAGCTGCGACCTGACTCAAAGCCGCCAGGTATTCCTCGCTGGGGTGTTCACGCTGATGCGTGCCGCAGAGACGGACGAGATCATACGCGATAGCCTCGTCGTCGGTCTCGTTCTCGAACCTGTTCACATCCACATCGAGCAAGAACTTGGCCGCTATCCACGCCGCGTCGAGTTCTTCTCCAGATCTGCTTCGCGTGATCCCGCAACCATAAGTGAGGATGTCGTCGTACACGAGGTAGTCTGCGTGTTCGACTGCTACGAGCAGCGCCAGCGCCTCCTGCACCATTTGGAATTTTTTCCGGAAAGTTCCTTCATTTTGGCTCGAGCCTCGGCGGGTTGCCATGGTCACTTTGAGAACGATGTCAGGGACTTGCCAGACATACTCATCAGCGGTGGCAGTCTCTGGAAGGGTGAAGCTAATGCAGGGCTTTAACGCCTTCCACCACGGAGCGAGGAACTCCCAGCGTTGGTCCATCTTCGTCAAAAGATTTCTTCTGGTTCTTTTTGAGCCAACCCGTCCCAAAAAAATGAGTCATTTGGTTAGGGTCCGGTATAACCTTACCCAAACAACGTAACCGGTACAGGTTACAGTAAGGTGTGACCTACCAAGTCAATTGGCGGACAATGGAGTCACCAGAGGATCGGTGGACGACTTTTTGGTCGAAATTCAGTACTTTCGAGAAGCTTTGGCTCTTTTGGCCGCTGTGGGGCACGTGGATAGGTCCGGGTGGAGATACTTGCTGGGGCATTACTGTGACGTGGATCTCGGGGTGGAGGGCGAAGAAGTTTTTGAGGAAGAAATTCCAGTTCGATTCCAGCTCTATCTGCTGAAAGGGAGGACAAAATACACGTTTCCCAAACAGCTAAAAGACGACCTCGTCCGGTGGTTTGGGATATCGCAGCGAACAGAAGCGAGCGAGGATTTTCTGGAGACGCTGCAGCAGATCGCAGATGTGGCGGGTAATTTACCCATGAACAAGCCCGGCGTGGACGTTGTGATTCCAGTGAAGGTGTACTTTTCGGCTATTGTTGGTAAGTTTGCAACGATCAGTGGGGACCTGATGCCGCTGGAAGATATTTGGACGGCGGAGATGGTGGCTCAGAAGGAGTGGGAGACGTTTGATGGTTTAACGAGACACTTGGAAGTTCCGTCTGGATCGCTGCGATGTACCTTTAAGCTGGAGCCGATGGTTGTGGAGTTTGGAGACTCGCAGATCACGTCCGAGATGGTGGACTTGATGAAGACGCTGGCGCTGGACGACGTTACGTTCTCGTACCTGTCCATCTGAACGAGCTTGGTCGTCAGACTTCGCCAAGATCGGTTTACTGCCACACAGAAGTTCGGGGAGTTGATGGGATGCATCTTCGACAGCGAGCGGCGTACTCGCGAGCTTACCTACACGAGCTACTACCCAGATACGACTGTGGACGAGTCATCTCCTTTACAATTTGGGGCGATTGATCTGAATTGCGACACCGGCAGCGACTTTGCGGCAATGTGCTCGGCTCTAGTGAGTAACCAGACTACCAAGAAGATTTCGATGTACATGCAAGTTAACCCAGACGAACACGCCGAGAGCCCACAAAAGTGGAAATGGGTCGCTTACGCGTTCTTCTCCAAGCGAGCGCGTGAATCTTCGGCGCTCGAGACATTGGCACTCACCTCAATTGACAGCCTAAGTATGGCAGACGTCGAAGCCTTCGCGTCCATCGTAGCTTCGGATCACCCAGAAGAAGACCTTTTTGGTAGTCCGCGTGGCCAAATTCCAGAAAGAGATGCAACACTCAAGGAAGGAAGTCCGATTTTCTGGCGGCTTACAGGCGATGGCCAACTCAGCGAGGACTTCGACCCGCTCGTGTTCGACTCTCCTATACGTTCGGTCCGTACTTTCAGCGATGACGGAAGCAGTGGATCAGTGGACGCATTGGTTCCGGGTTTTGGCCGCTGTCTGGTCAAACGTAGTGATCTCGAGTTTTCTGAAGACACAACGGCACCAACATTTACTCAAGGCGGAGTTTTTTCACTATTCCTGGGGTTTAGCGAGGAAGAGGAGACGGCGCCCACTGGATTACCACTTCTCCTTGCTGATGTTGGGTAGTCATTGAAATTCTTGACGCTAAATGGACCAAGCCTTGCGGTTGACACCAACGCGATTGTGGGTAGCTGCCCCAACTTGGAAGTGCTAGCTCTCTGCAAAGGTCAAGTCGAGATCCGATTCAACTTTGGTAGCTATCAAGCGAGCAAACAGCCTCTTCCAGCGCTTGAATGTGACTGGGATAATGTGGCAGAGCTACTGCAAAGGTTGAGTGATGTCAGTTCACCGCTTGCTAAGTGTGCTCGACGTCTGCGGCTTCGCGTACTGCACCAAGTCTTCTGGGACGGAATGGACCGCACAACTCGAGCGATCATACGTATGCTAGAGGCGAACGACAATCTCGAGTACCTCGACGTTGTTTTGCCGCCTGATGTCGCTGTCGACACGGTCGATTTGCGAAAACATCACAGAACTCCGGTAAACCTAGCTCTTCGACTCTCGACAGCGTCTAAAGTTGCGTTTTTGAGCGTGTTTTCGCCCCCAGCCCCGTCCAATCCTACGGGAAACAAACGAGAGCGCGCGGATTCTGGACGTACCGCAGTGTCGTACAGGTTGGACGAACATGTGCTGTCCAACATACTCGCGTTTGCTGCTCCTCCTGTGCTCCGTCAAGTATATGCCCGCAGAGCGGGGGAGACTGGCGAAGTCAATGGTTCGCAAGTACCCATTTAATGATGTTGAGTCGCTCAAGTCGCGTATATCCCAATGACAATTACGAGTTGGGCTTTTGAGCGTTACTCCGGCATGCAGTCCTCGATGAGAAGAACGTCTGTATCTTCGTCTTCGCGACGGATGAAACCAAAGAAACTTGGTATCGTCTGGATAAAGCGCGTGCGTAGCTAGTCTACATGTAAAATCCAATTTACAATGAAATAAAAAATCCTACAGCTCCCAGTTTTCGATTATTTCTGCTTGTGGTGCAGCATTGTACTAACCTAAATAACCAAAACACCACGATCCGCCCATGCTAACCATTAGCTGACTGAGGAAAAAGAAAACATTTTCAATCACATAATTTATCAAAGTTAAAATTCATGTTTTTTTCACTGAATTGGTACTTCTCGTTAAATGAGGACTGCAGTGTCATCGTCGGCTTCCTTATAAGCTCTCGGACTGCGAACGTATACTTGACGGAGACCGGGGGCAGCAGCAAACGCAATAATGTTGGTCTGCACATATTCATCCAATCTGCAGGATGCAGCGTCCGTACGCCCTCTTTTGGTTGTAAAGTTCAGTATGTAGCCCGGAAACACACTCAGAAACGCAGCCTTGCATGCTGCTGGGAGTTTAAGAGCTCGACTACCCGGTGTCCGATGAAACTTACGCAACTTGTTGAATTCAGCAGGAGAACATGCTGGCACAACCACGTCAAGGTACTCGAGAGTGTGGTTCACCTCCAGCATATTTGCGATTTTATCAACGTCACCCGAGGCTATTTGATCATCATCGTCCTCTCTGTCGTTCTGGTCCCACAGACAGAGCCGCAGCCGTCGAGCGCATTTGGCAAGCGGTGAACTGGTGTCGCTTAACCGCCTCACTAACCCACCAATGTCATCCCAGTCACCGTCCACCACCGGAATAGGCCCCGAGCTCGCTTGGTAGCTACAAACGTTGAGTCGGATCTCGACTCGACTTCTGTAGTGCGCCAGCTCTTCCAGGTTGGGGCAGCTGCGTAAAACCATGTTCGTATCAATCTCGAGTTCTGGTCCCTTCAGCGTCAACTTCTTCAGCGACATCCCCACCGAACCTAAGAGAAGTTGCAAACCACCGGAACTGAAGCCCTCTCCTTCGCGACTTACAAGGAACAGTGACGATATGCCGCCTTGATTAGCTGCTAGTGCTGCCTCGGTTCTTTCGAACACGACATCACTGCGCTTGACCAGGCATCTGCCAAAACCCGGAACCATCGCGTTTACCAAGTTACTTTCCCCGTCATCGGTGAAGGTCCGAACTGAGTGTATTGGAGCGTTGAACACGAGCGGGTCGAAGTCGTCATCCGGCTCACCACTGCTCGTAAGACACCAGTAAATAGGACTTCTCTCCTTGAGCGTTGCATCTCGTTCTGGAACTCGGCCACGTGGACAGCCACAGAGGTCTTCTTCCGGGTGGTTTGATGATAGGGTGGACACAAATGCTTCCATGTTTGCGACACTAATACTATCAACTCCAGCTAATGCCAGCGACTCGATCGCTGAGGATTGTCGAGCTCGCTTCGAGAAGAAAGCGTAAGCAAGCCACTTCCACATGTGCACACCACCACTGATGCCACTGACGTCTCCGTCCAAATATATGTGTATCGAAAGGTTCTTGGTTGCCTGGTTGGTCACCACAGCTGAGCACATAGCCTCAAAATCGTTATCATTGCCTGCGTACATGCGGCTATATACACAATTGAGGTCAATCGAGCCGATTTGTAGCGGCGACATCTCACGCAGTATCGTATCCGATTGGTAACTCGTGTTGCCATGTTCGCAAGGGCGTCCTTCACAGTTAAAGATGCACCTCATCAGCTCCCCAAACTTCGGAGTGGCAACAAACGCATCTTCGTCTAGTTCGTCGACCAAACAAGACCTAAGCGACAGGTACGAGAACCGGACGTTGTCTCGAACCAACGTCTTCAATAAATACACTCTTTCGCTCGAAAACTTGAGATATCCAAAGTTGACATCCATCGGCTCCAGCTTGTAAGTGCAGCGCAGCGATCCAGGCCTGACGTCGACGTCATCAAACGCCTCCCACTTCTTCTGAACGACCATTTCCGCGATCCAAATATCTTCCAGCGCCTTCGTATCGCATCTGTGATGACAAGAGAAAAACACACAGCCACGGGGATCACGAGGTCCACGCCTGGCTCATCCGTCGGTAAATTTCCAGCCACGTCTGCGATCTGCTGCAGCGTCTCGAGAAAATCTTCGCTCGCCTCCGTTCGCTGCGCGGTACCGAACCACCTCACGAGGTCGTCCTTTAGCTTCTTGGGATACGTGTATTTCGTCCTCCCTTTCCACAGATCCAGTTGGAATCGAACGGGGATTTCTTCCTCGAAGATTTCATCGCCCTCCACCTCGAGATTCACGTCACAGTGATGATCCAGCGAGTATCTCCACGCCCCTTTATCCACGTGACCCACAGCAGCCAAAAGAGCCAGAGCCTCTCGAAACTCATGGAGCTGGGCTAGAAATTCTTGTTCCTTCTTTTTGCTTAATTCTTTCTCGACGTTTGTGCCCTCGAATCGAGCAGGGGGACGCACAATAAGGAGGCGTCGCTGCTGCGCCCAGACCTCCTCCATACCCCCCCGACTAGCTGTAGCTGATGCGACCGCGTAACACGCTCGTCCATCGCGCTAGAACCCCCCCACCGCTCCTCGAGCAATTCCATCGCGTCTGTATCTTTTCTTTGACCGGGTTACGTTATCAGTTGAACAAGTTACGTGAGACGGGTTACATTGTAACCAGCTCCATCGTAGTTACGAGGAAACTTTAGTGACTGAAAAACAGTAGTTAGGGCTTCTTCGCGCCTAGGGTCGGGAAAGTTGATATTAACTGTGAGTCCCAGCTCAAGAGTCTGCATCTACGTAACAGTATCTAGTTGGTTTTACCGGGTAGAGGAGACTCTTTCAAAATTGAGGAAGAATTCCAGATCCAGTCGCAGAAATTGCGCGATTTGTTGACGCTGTGGACTATCCACGTGGATAAATACCAGCTGAGTGAACGTTGTTAGCTTCAGTTGAAACCAACGGACGCAACTACGAGATCCCGGTAGAATTTATATTGACGTGAGATTTTAGTGTACATACTTATCAGGATTCCCGTCCTCAGTCTACTTCAGGGTCAAGACCGATGACAATCTGTCGCAAGCGACATAGGAAATTATTTTCCTGCTGAGGATATTGCTTTAATTTGTTACGTCGAACTAGCGATTGAACGCTGGAAAGAGCGAGCACTCGTCGGATTTCGCGGTCTTTACGCCTCAATTTGCTGAGCAGGCTGCGAAGTGAGTTCAATTACTGTAGCAGTTAGACAAGGCTACGTCCTCTAGCTCCTCAGCACCAACCACTGGCGCTGATTATGCGGTGCCGTTGTTGATGCCGCAGCGATTATGGCTGATGCAGTCGTCGTATTCTGCTGTCAGTCGCGCTGTCGAGCTGCAGTCGTTGCCAACACACACAGTAATCACTGTGACCAACGTGCATGTATTCTCTCAGCTCTTAAGCTGACAGCACAGGGTGTTTGCAGAGTCGGTTCGCCAAATTTGTGAATGTTTTTTATGAAAGAAACACTGCGTTTCAATATGGTCGCGATCGGAGCGCTTCATTTAGCTTCACTATGCTTTTCGCAATTTCTAACGTAAAAAACACCTGTGTGCAAGTACACCATATCGCGCTCACTTGCCCCGCTATACTTGGCGACTCGCATGGGACAGCGAAAAAAAATCTGCGACAGAATTTAGAAACGTAGACTCGTGTCAACATTTCCCAGGTTAGGTACTCGATACTTTTGCATACTTGAACAGGCAACAACGGTACTCTCCCGCTCAAGTTCATGCGCTCCGCACTCAACATAGCGTCGCACCACCGAAATTAAACTTGAGCGGTAACGTGCGGTCGCGGAAACTTCTTTACTTAAGTTGCGTCTGCGATCCATCAGCAGCCAATCCCAGGGCCGCGCAAATATGGATTCCGGGCTCACTTGAGCTTACTATGGTTTAGAAAGATGAACCCATCCAAATAGAACTAAAACGCATGCGACTGCGCGGAAAGCCAGCAAGTTTCCCTACTTTTGTTACGGCGACCCCTCAGAGCTGTCACCGGGTGACAGTTTCAGGGCGTCCCTTCGAGTAGAACACATCCGCATCTTGGTTTGAGTATGCGCGGGTGGTGTGTTCTACGCAGCCAATCAAAGCTGTTGGATGTGCGCCACACCGGCGCCGCTCAGGGTGCTGTTTTATTCCGAGAGTGCTGCGCGCAGCGACCAGAATTGAACGGCATGCTGCTTCGTGCGGCTCGCTGTATGGGCAAGTGATGTCTTTATTTGACCGAGCGAAGCACGGGCAGCTAGCTGCATGAGCGCCGAAATAATGCATCTTGAGCAGGAGCGCAAGACATAGAAGCAAGCCGGAGGCGCTGACACGTAACAGCATTAGGAAAGCGAGCAGTTGTAGTTGTGCGGGCTTGAGTTCGAGTAAGAGTAAGAGCACAAAGAGGTATAGCAGCCGCGCGTGCAAAAGCAAGAGAATCAGTATATCACCAGAGCTGAGTGGACCCAGCACTAAGCAGAGAAAGACCATCCAACCAACAGCCAGCCATGCGTCTCTCCAACACGGCCCTTGTGGTTCTAGCGGCCGTCCTCTTTGTGGCACAGCAGTGTCACAAGCACAGCAAATCGGTGTGTCAAACGAGCTTCACTCCTCTGATGTTCTCGGGGTGCGGATTAAAATCTAGTGTGAAAAGGCTGAAGTCCTAGTGCAGACCTTCAAGTGGTGGACTTCCGTGTGTTTTTTATGAAGAGGGATGACTTGCTTTGTGTTTATTCGTGTATTTTATTGAACGCGTAGTGAAGAAGCCAAAATGGGCCTTAGGACACACGGAATGCAAGCGACTGGTATCGCTTCTATTCAAATACGTTCATTTCCTACTCAGGAAAGCTGATAGCCTTTTCCTCTAGCTGGTTCTAGCGTTCAGCTTGATAATTACGTCCTACGAGATTCCACAGGTGGAAGCCTCCTAGGGAGGCCACCACCGTGATAAATGGGTTCGGTGGGACTTCTGCGGGTCAAAATGAAGTCTTACACAAGGGGCAAGCATAATGCCATCCAAAGACCTCGTATCATCGAGCGCAGCTTGCCTGTACTGGACGCACACGAGGCATTCATCCTTTGACTGATTTGCACAAGGCTCCCATCCGTTTTTGTATCGTACACGGTGATCATCCCTTTTACACTAGCTTTTATTGTGGCTTTCATCCGTTTTGGCAAATCGACCACCCGTCCATGACCCGATATATCGGGCCCGATTTGCGTCTGGGGGCTGCGAGTTGCGAAGCAGGGGCCAGAAATGCCGCTTTTCGCCGGCAAAATGGACCGCCGCGAAAACATGTCTGGGGCGCTCTCAGATCGAGGTTGCAGCGGCCGTAGATGATCACACAGGTGATTTAGCTGGCCATAGTGCTATGAAGTGGCTATATACAGTGTACTATTGTCCCCAATGTCTTGCAGTTCTAATGCGTCATGAGAGGTGAGGAGGTATGGCCACTGGCCATACCTCCTCACCTCACAAGCTGGCCATTTGCCAGCTTGGAATGCCTCCCCTTTGAGCCTTATGCTGCTAACTCAGGCCAGATATAGCTAAATTGGACTAACCGATCATGTAGGAGTTCCATTTTATATAAATCGGACTCCGAGATAACACGTCAAATCGGGCGGCAAAATATTTGAAAACCACAATAATCTTTTCTCGATGTTCTCGCTGGCGAGGACAAGTTATATCTTCGACACTACCACACGGCGAGTGATGAAGACAAGCTTCTCGGACACGTCGAGGAATAGAGTGCGAACATGTTCGGCGCGTTGAAGCCGCAGAACATGCAGAGAGATGACAGTTTTAGACGTTCAAAGGGTGGAAAGGGTATCGAAAGACTGCGAATGACGTCTACAATGATGTACCATATAGTCTATACGACCTATCTCTTCGTATAAGCGGCGTTCAGGCGCATGTATGGTTAATCGGCGTGTTTCAACTGGCCAAGACTTGAACACCTGCCGCACCAGACCACGTCCCTTACGTACTCATAACTTATGAGTCATAACGATCGTAGGTATTAATATGCAAATTCAGGCGCTCGAGCGATTACTTCTGCCGGCGTGGAGAGGGAGAACACTGCGAAGGCGGCCCCTGGCCAGGCTGTTTGTTTTACTACACGTTTAGCGCTTCATCTTAAACGAATGAAAGCGTTCACGCTTTAGTTAAACGGCCTGTCAACGCTCTCCGACAATGGCGAGGATTCTGGCGAGAAGGAACAATAATGTCTACCTCTAGGTGGGCTTTCGCGCGCGCATTCCAATAGGACAGATAGTGATGAGAGGAAATGATCGTTTCTACGGTACGACATGTTGTCGAATCAGTGCGCGGGCAAATGCATCGGCGTCGTCTTAAATTGGCGACTCGAGCGGCATAAGATAGGGTCAGCGCGTGAAGCTTCAATCTACACTGTAGATTGAAGCAGTAGATTCTACAGACTTGATATTACGAAGAAACTGCCGTGGAGATTTTGCTTAAGGATCTAAACGCAAGCTCACAGCGCGAGCTCCTCGTTGTGTTTCAACATAAAATAGCGACGTCACGCGCAATCAACGTCTAACGGTAAAGAATTGCTACTTTATATTCCGCACTGCGATAAATTACGATGTTAGCGTTGGGCGCCAGTAACATCGAGGCATACCGATGTGCACCACCGTAGCGTTGCAATAATCAGTGCCAACTGGTCTCACCTTCGGGCCATGGTCACTTGCTCTTGGGCTCGCTTTCTCTGCTAATGAGTGTAGTCTATCGAAGTACTGTAAAACCTCTAATTGCGCCCTACCCTCAATTAGTACCCCACCTCTCATTTTTGATTACTTTGGGTGCGGATTTACAATAGTACCCCACCCTCTTATAATACCTCACTCTCCACTGAAAATTTAGTACAGTACCCCTCCCAACCTTAGTATTGGAATTATTGGCAGCGTGAAGTTTCTTGTTGCTTGTCTAACATATTGGGCGCATTCCGCGGGCTCATATCCTAGAGATCTAGCGACACGATCACCGTAGGCGGAGATGCGTCTCCGAGAGTAGGTAGCCGATTAAACCGCAACAAATTCAAATTCAAATGCTTGTCTAACATAAGAAGGGTGCTGTATAGGTTGTCTGTTGGGATTAGTGTTGTTTCTTACCAAGTTTATAACTCCTAATATCTGGTATTATTAATTTTAGACATTTAATAACGATGGTATTACCTTTGTGTATCATTTGTGTATCGTAATACTTAAATTTTGTCTTAAGCATCTTAACTTCTGGAAGAGCAAGCTTTTGCTCATATCAGCTTCCCACACAATGCCAGCCTGCTGCGTTCTCCGGTCCCAGACTGGAATCTCTTCCCTAGATCTACGCGTCGCTCGGCACCAGCTCGTTGCTCGGCCAGGACGTGAACGGCGCCGACGCAACGCTGGCCACGGGGCTCCCAAAAATAGGCCCAAGGTGCTCTACGACGCGTACATCGCCCCACATTCAAGCTGATCAGCAACGACTCCGCAACGCAGTAGTCAAACGCCCGCTGGATGTCATCAAGGAAGCCATCGTGTACCTGCACTTCTGCTTTTCGGCCCGAGACGATGGACTGCGACAAGGCCACTCAGACTGCTTACAGAAGCTGTTTCGGCGGGTACGGCGCGATGCACTGAATATGTGAGCTAACTGATGTGAAGCTCTATGATTATAAGAAGAGCAAGACGAGCTGGCGTTTGCAATATTTGAACTCGGATTAGTCAGGGCAAAAGCGGTTTAGCCCTCCACCTCTCTTTCACCCCTAGCACGTTCGCCACCACTAAGGTCACCAAAGTGTTCTGCGACCGCCATGGCCACAGGTCCACACGCAGTTTCACCACGCACAAGCACAGAAAGGTTGTGTGCACGCTGAAACAGGGTGGTGAGGCCGGCAAGAGCAAATCGAACATCCTCGGCTACGTGCACGAATGATCAAGGCTCGAGTAGCGCGACGACGAATATGCCGTCACGTCCGACAAGCACCATCAAGTCTACCCCTATCATGAACAAGGTACATTCGCGGCAAAGACAATAATAGTGGTTTCCGAGGCGGGGGCAACCAACAGCCTGACCCCCCCCCCCCCGACAAGAACGGCCCCTCAGGCTCGGCAGTTCTCTTCTCTCCAAGTCCGACAAAGAGTGCTAAAAACCGACCACCTCTTCTCCAACCGCTATGGCACGCCGCGCGTCCAAGTCGTCGCCTGCTCGCCCTCGCGCTATCGCAGCCAGCGCCGACACAGCTGGTGCCCCTGCTAGCTCCGTAGGCGAATCCGCCCCTGAGACCTCTAGCGACTCTGCGGCAGCCGCGGCGGGGCCTTCGCCGTCTCAAGGGCAGCGTAGTCTGCCGTCAACCGGCCGTGTGGTGCGCCGTACGCGGCAGTCGGAGCCCACGCGAGCCAGCAAACGTCTCCAGAAGCGCAACGCGAGCGACGCCCCAGTTCCCCCAGCTAGTCGCACGGCATCGAGCGAAGGATCGTCGGTGGAGGTCGGCCCCACGGGTGATCCAGCGGACCTCGTCGTCGCTTCCCAGTCGTCTCCAGGAGCGAACGCAAAGGGGCAAGAACCGGCACCGAGACGCCAGGCCCCAGGCAAGCGCAAAGTTCGGAAGACGGTCGACCATCAAACCGCTGCGCTGTCCATTCGGCGGGCGGTCACGCTGGCGGCGGATCCACCATCAACGACCGAAGGTGATCAGGAGAACTATCCTGCAGATACCTCACCGTCTGTGTCCACCCAGCCTCGGGCTACGGAGGGCAGTACGAATCTAGTGTCGGTGAGCGAAGTCGTAGGCGGGCGTGCGTTAAACTGTGCGAGCAACCAGGAAGCGGTGGTAGATTTAACGACAACACAGCCCTCTCCAACGAATTCGGCTATGCCCTCTCGCGGCGAGTCTACTGCGACCAGCGCCTCTGTGAGTAGGCTTGCTGAACATTCTTCGGCCCACGGGCACCAGATTCCATCTGGAACGTGGGGCGAACATGACGATCGCGTGGATTTCGACCTGGAAGAGTTTTTGGCCCGATATCAGCTCCCCCAGACGGCCCAATCGTCTGCCCAACCTGGAGGAACTTCGAATACGGCACACTATGGATACACTGGCGGGCCTGCGCGCCCGGTAGTTGCTGGTAATACTGTGGAGGCACTCTCAGCCCAGGTTCTCCAGCTGCAATCTATGGTAGTTGACTTGCAAGGCCGCTTGTCCGCTCAAGCCCCACCGCCGCTCATCGCTCCTACTGCAGGCTACACCGGTGGCGGTTGGACACTGCCATCCTCGCATGGCCCGTCACCACCGCCGCCTCCCGAATTGCGTGAGCTTCGACTGGATAACCTTCCAGACCAACGCCGTTCCGCCAAAGGCGACTACGTTCCCCCCCAGTCTCATATGCTGATTTCGCGCAGGATGTTCCCAGCTTTGACTAGCGCACTAGGTAGGTCGTTGACACAAATGGAGTTTATCTTGTCGATCTGGGGACCGGCTAGCAAGCTCTTCAAGGACTCGCCCCCGCTTCTCATGGCTCTATTCAGTGCTCGCCTTGGCTCTCGTGGATTATCTCTCATGCATTTTATGCCGCTGTTGGAAAACGATCTCCTGGCACACACGTCTGATAACTCTGGTTTTACGATGGATTTTAGTAATAAGACGACACCCCCTCCTACCCCACTCGAGTGCACGTCATATGACGACATTCTATCAGCACTATACGGTTTGAAGAGCTTCGGCAACAAGTTGTGGTTCGACTACCTGAATGTGCTGATTTCGCGATTGATTCACTTTGTGTCAGACAACCGCAGTCAGGACCCCAGCAACAGCTCCATCCGCGTGAAGAGAACACTCCAGTTGAGCAATGCGTTCCTGGGAGCCGCGCTGGATCATCTTGCTGCGGATAGCCCGTCGTGGTGGCGTGATTATTGGGGTGAAGTTCACAAGATTAGCTCGGAGTCACTTAGTTGGATCTTGGCTCTCCAAAACATCCAGGCCAGCCAGGTTGCATGCCTGCGCGCTGCCGCTACGGCTCATACTGGATCGGCCACGGCCCCCAGTGCCCACGCCTCATCCGATGGCAACCGCAGATCCCAAGCAAACTCCTACAACCCGATTCCAGAGCACATTCGCAGGCAAGTCCCACGCCGTCCTGATGGAACGGAACCATGCTTACGTTTCTTTGGGGGATCGATGTGTCACGGGGGCACGGTCGATCGGTGCGCGTACTCGAAGCGCACTCACGTCTGGGACTCGCCTCTGCCCCGCGAAGTCCAATCCTGCATTAATCGCTTATATGGTGGCAACAAACGGTCCCATTACGGACCCCAGCGCGGCTAAAGCTGCCGAGGCGCCATTGGCTCAAACGCGCTTCGGTCTTTCAACCTTGAGAGTAGTAACGCAAATAAACGCGTGCAACCCGTCGACTCTCCTAGCTTCGAGCCATCATTACCACATACACGTACAGCCCTTACTGACAGCTACGCTTCCGTCAGCGGCAACCACCTAGCACAATCGGCGCTAGCGTCTTGCTCTGGATCAGCCCACGCTATCCAACCGTCTCCGTCGACTGGCCTCTCTGACGGCTACGCCTCAGAAGGTCAGCCTTCGGCGCGGGTACCGACCGCAACAACAACTACTGGTCACTCGATGCCTTCAAAATCTGCGCGTCCACCGGGACCTCCAGATGGAGATTTCCACCGGGATCCAACTCGACGGCGCGCGCCAACTCCGGCGGAGTCTGCCGCTTTCCATGATGCTGGCCGCAGACATCAGCGTCTGTGCTCGGACACTCGTACTAAGACCCTCACCGCCGCCTTCACCTCGGTGGGGCTTAACTTTCCGACGGACCCGTACCCTATCGCCACCGGCCCTGACGATTCCCCCACTTACCAGCTCAATCGCCCCCTTCAACAAGCGATGTCGGAGTTCGTTCGTAAGACTGGTATTCCCTCCCTCGATTCGTGGAGCTGTTACGCGGCCAGACGAGCGATGACTACCGACCTAACAAAGCCATAATTCCGGGTTAACTCACGGCAAACAGCTCGGAATTCAAGGATATCCCTCAGCTATTGAATATCGCGGATAACGGTATCCAGGGACGCCGCACCAAACCGCTACCCCGCCAGGCACACCCGCCTCAGAACCACCCATCCGCTCGACGGCGACTTAACGTGCTGCGGAAAAATATTCGCAAAGAGCAAGATTTGGGGCGATGCATTGTTCTGGAACTGGATATTCTTAAGTTATGGATCGACATCTTTCTCTCGCCTTTTGGCGTAGTTGATAAAGGCGAAGGCGACCCATCTACCTCCGGCAGGGTTATCCACGATCTATCACACCCCGACGGAGAATCGGTCAACTCGACCACCGATACGACATCAATTCCAAACACAGAATACGAACCCGCTGAACGCATTGCACGAGAGATTCTACACCAGGCCAAGAAGTTCCCTCCGCAGACATTAAGTTATTGCTGGGTGATGTTGCCTCCGCGTTTCGGAATCTGGGAATACATAGCTCATGCGCCCGGTTGTTCGCAGGAACAATTCCCGAAGACAACGCCCTGGTGATTGACTTGTCTGCTTGTTTTGGCTGGACGGGTTCTCCTGCGTTCTACGGTGTTGCGGGTCGGGCTATTGCGTTCTTACACGGCCGTACAGGAAACGAGTGCTACCCAGATGGATTCTTTACCCAGATGGATTCTTTAACTACCATTGGGTCGACGATCACGTGTGTGTGGCTGCAGACATCGGATCTAACTGCCAAGACACGGAGCTATCTCTCCGGCACGCAATGATGACGGTCCTGGGAGTGGACGCCATAAACGATGAGAAGTTTACTGGCTGGAGTACGCGGCAGAAGGTACTTGGCTTGGTTTTCGATACCACAAATTCTACGGTGTCTATGCTAGCCCCCAAAATCCTAAAAGCACAGCAATGGGTATCGAAGGCCTTTCACGCAAAGGCTCTGGCACGCTCCGAGTTCCGATCTACCTACGTCATATTGCTACCTGTGTCCGTGCGGCTCAGCCGTTCCTACAGCGGCTCCGGGCCCAAGAGGGTCGCCTCCACCGGTGCCACCTCATCAAAATCACGGTCGATATGAAACAGGATCTGGTGTGGTGGTATAGAATTCTAAAGCTGCCCGTGATGAACGGAGTCCCTTTGTCTTATTTCAGGGCCTCTCCACCCCCTCACATCGTTGTGGAGATGGATGCATCTGATGCGGGAATTTGTACCCTCGATCGGGCCGCAAGTGCGCCTTAACTTTCTCATTCTCAGATGCAGAGCTGACTCTCATTCGAGAATTCCGGTCGGGAGTAAACAACAATTTTGACATCAATTATCGCGAACTCTTGTCGTGCGCTATGGCGGTCTACACGTGGGCGGCGTCATGGCGAAACTTCGCGACGGCATCGAACCCTACCGTGCATGTTCACTTTCGTATTGATAACACCTCGGCGGTATCATGGCAGAACAAAATGAGTTCTACGAATCCCCGCGCCCAACTTGTGATACACTTACTCGGATACTGGGAAACCATTACGGCTGTCGATTTTCTTTATCTCACATCGCGGGCGTGGACAACGTGATCGCTGATGCTGGCTCCCGTCTCCCGGATCGACATTACGCTAACCGATTTGCTAACCTTACACGTGACTGGATGCAGGTGACACCAGATATCAGCAGCCTCGGCCTAACGAAGATTTGGCTCGATATTTGCGCGAGCATTCGGTGGCAGATATTACCCTCAACAAATACTCGAAGGCCTATTTGAAATGGCGGCAGTGGACCACCTAACGCGGCATCAACCCTTGGATGGACAACGTCGAACCTGCTCGTCAGCTACAGCACATCTCGGGGTTTGTTTTACATGGCTTTCAGCATGGCGTTGGGTCGGGTCGTTAAATTTCGAGCTCAACGATAAGTGGGTATCTTATGGGTGTGCGGCATTTCTTCCTCGCAACGGGGCGTACCTTCCACTACGACCATCCACAGATTCGCATGCTTCTCAAGGGCATAAGCCGGCGTGATACACTTCCCCAGCGCAAGGCCCCAGTGTCCATCCGTCTTCTAGAAGCCTGCTTTACACGCCTGAGCCTCCGGAACCCTGCGGATCAGACTCTATGGGGGGCACTGTGTATGTCGTTCTTCTTCCTCTTCCGCCGGTCAGAGATCGTGTCTGTGAGCGCTGGTCGATTCCGCTGGTTTGCAATCCGGGCGTTCGATGTAGCGGTGCTCGACGCCGGCGACGTGCCGACCTTAGACCCCATCCAAGCAGCTTCAGTTCACGTGAGACTGAGAGGCTCAAAAACGAACCAGCGAGGGTCTCCTTCTCTACGAATGCTGCGGCGCTCCGGACACAAGTCTCTGTGCCCTGTTTTAGGTGCTCTGTTGATGCTCAAGGCCCATGGATCATTACCCAGTTATGTGCCGATTGCAGTCTACGAGAACGGAGACGGCCGCCTCGGCGAGGTATCCGCCAATGGAGTAGCCAACACAATCCGCACCGCGCCGGTCTCAATTGGCCATGACCCTTCCAAGTTTAGCACACACTCACTTCGCTCGGGCGGGGCCACACACATGTATCGGGCTGGTGTCGATGCCCTCACCATCCAGTTTCACGGCCGGTGGGTGTCCGACACATTCAAGATCTTCACTCGCATATGCAGCGAGTCTGTGGCCAGCCTGGCGTCCAACATGATTCGCGGTTCTCAGGCCGTCTCGACCTTACCGTAATGGCCACGCTCGACCTTCATTGGGGGCACAGCTCCCGCACTACATTCGAAGCTGAGTCCGAGCTCAACCATTACGGATAATGAAGTCCATTGGTAAGCGGACAGCGGAGGAAACTACCCAAGTCCGCAGCAGAACCAAAACTTCTCATCAGAAAATGAAGCGGAGGAAGCTACTAGAAATACCATCAGCCGAGGCAGTATCTAGAAGAAATTCGAAAGAGGTTGAAGCCAATGCATTGATACACATTTGCATGAGGACGCCGACTCTATTGACTAACTAGTGCATGATATGTAATCAAGAAGGCGTGAATGGAATGAAAATATGGATCGTGTTGCGGGCTTAGCTAGCGTGAACAAAGTCAAATATGCTAATGCTCCCAGGTTGAACCAAACAGCACCCTCGGCGAGTGGTGGGTGCGTCGAGTGCTCGACTGTGGAGTTGAAGGTAGTCCACGACGGCCGCTGCTACCCCCTGAAAATACGAGACGATCGCTAGTTGGTAGACTCGGTGTTGTTGCACTTGCCGATCCGGGTGGCCTCACGACCGGTGGCACAAGCTGGCGCTCATCACCACGCGTGAAAACGGTTCCGCTGCTTGTTGACTGCGTAAGAGCGACCGACTGCGTAAGAGCGACTGACTGCGTAAGTGCGACCGACTGCGTAAGTGCGACCGACTGCGTAAGGGCGGCCGCAGCCTCGTCACTGCATAGTGTTCTGGTATTCGTCGCTTGGTCGGGTAGCGGGTTGGCTAGTGCAGGCGAAAATAGTGTTCTTCGAGCTAGCGGGGGTGCGAAAGCTCCACGTTGGTCGATCTGCGAGGGCGTGAACAATCGTGATCGGTGCACCGTATTAGACCGACTACCGCGTATGCGACTGGAGCTGTTGGGAGCAATTGGCGTAACGATGTCATCATCGCTGTAGTCGTCACTCGCGCTGCTTTCGCCCTCTTCTTCTGCATTGACTTGATAGTGCACTGCACTGGTGGCAGCCTTGTCACCCGCATTCGAGTACAAATATGCTAGCTTTTCCACGTGATCGGGTTTCAGCCGATTTCGTCGCTTGGTGTGGATGAAGGAGTGAACACTCCACGAGCGCTCACTCGCAGCGGACGACGTCGGGATGCTCAAAACGCGGGTAGCCAAAGTATGTAGGAGCGGAAACTTGTTAACCTTGACCAGCCACCAGTCTAATGGCGTGTCCCTCGCGTTTTTTTCGTGGTCTTTGGCTGTCCAGTACTTCTTCACGCGAATAAAAGCCATGACAGCTCGGCGAACTGCATTTGGAGATACGTTGGAGGGTAGACCAACTCGTGTAGCTAGATCTACGCATGCATCGACTGCATTGTCCAAAGCATTACCTTCAAAGTCGTCCGTAGACTTAGTTGGGTCCAGTAAAAATGCAGCGAGGATTGATTCGCGTTTGAGGGTGTTCCAGCGGGAGCTAATCTGGCCTCGGATCGTGTTAAGAATACCAGAAGCAACATAATCAGTTTTGCGGTTGTAGATGTCGTGGGTTTTTAGTCCACGAAAGTATTCATACACCATCGAAAGGCAACACCCATCCTTTTCGAGAGCGCCAAGAGCTTGGATTATCGGGTTCACCAGTCGCATTACGGCTCTGGCATTCACCCAAAACATGCTATCAGCCAAAATGGACTCGACGCGATTGAGTTTGGCAGCCGCATCTCCGTAACGAGCCAGAAATTCATGGTTGGAAAACAACTCACGCAGCACAACTTCGTTCTTCACGACACTGGAAATACAATTTGTGCTCGAGTACCACCGCGTCGAAACAGGGATGATTAGCGCGCGTCGTCGCTGCCGGGTACCAAAATACTTGCGTTGCAGAGCCCGAAAGCGATAAAGAAGCGCTGCACGTTTACGCACAAATTTGGTAACTAGGACGGCTTTCTTGAGGACGTCATTCATGAACTCCATCCCGAACATGCCTTTGAGTAGAAAATTGATCGTGTGTGCCGCGCAGCCGTTACACGTTTGACTTGGTATCTTGGTCATTAGAAGCTCCCATGACTTACGCATGTTAGACGCGTTGTCCGTCACAACAGCGCATACCGATCCTTTTCCGACGACATTTTCAACAGCTTGAATCACCTTGTTCAACTCTGACGCCTGTATGCTGTTTGTCGGCGCAGCGCTCCGATGACCAAAATATGGGTCGGATAAATGGAGACGTCACCCTAAAGTTGATAATGGAGGATCGGACCATCCGTCGCATACAATGGCAACGTACTGCTGCTCCCTCAGCACCTCCATAACGCTGGCAACTTCCTCCGCGTACGCGCTATCAAACAGTGAGGTCGCCAAATCTTGGCGTGAATGGAGCGTCCTTCCGGGCCGGTACTTCGTCAGGATACACCTCATGGCTCCATTTTCGATGACCCGAAACGGAATGCCGCAGGCATAGAACGCTTTGGCAATCTGAAGATGGAACTCCTTCTTTTCAGTCACTGAGACCGGTCCTAGCACACTTGTAGCCATTTCAGGCCGCGAACGCTTAGATGGACTGTGGGGCCTATCGGAAGTGTCGGGACGATCTCGCTTGGAGGGTGTAACAGGGTAATTAGCCCGGACGTCCGCTGGGGCGCGGGGACAGCTGCGAATGTGTGGGCGGAGGTTTTTCTTGGGCTGGGCATTCTTGATGAGCTTGGAGCAGTGCCTGCACGACACGTCGGTGTGCTGCTTCTTCGGGTTAGCCCAACGTGGCACAACCACAATGTACTCGGTCCACACGCCAACTGAAGGGCGACCCTTCACTGCTAGCCCGGTCCTCGTTGCGGTGGCCGTTTGGTCCATGGAGCTTGCAGGCTCTGCTGTATGTACAGGAGCAAGTTCGCGAATGCACCGACGAGAATAGGCCCCGTGCGCGAGCTGCCTGCCATGTGGAGCATACGCAGATTCATGTCGGTAGACCTCCACGTACGTTGACAACTTCACGAAACGCGTTGACCGAATATTTCTGCCACACCAACTATACACATGAGGCATTACCGTTAGCAGATCGAATATTTTTGCCACACCAACTATACATAAAATTTGTTAACGTTAATAAATGGTAAGTACGAAGGTAATAACGGTAACTGGTAATAACTGGGTAAGGATTTGGCCAACTCTAGTTGGGATGCGACATTTTCTATTCTTACAGTTACCATCGTTGCTCTCACTCATACCGCACAGGGGCATGTAACTTTAATTAAATTAAAGTAAAGTGATTAGGATGTAAGCAAGGATGTAAACTGATTTTGGAAATAATTTTAAATGGTTTTTTAGCTGTAAGTGGGTGCATCGTGAAATCACAAATTGGTCTCGTAGCCAAAGTGAAAGAAAACAAGCAGTGGAGTAAAATTGTGACGTAAAACAATGTTGTCAAAAGGGGTTGCCAAAAGGGGTGACCATCCTTTAACGATATGATACCCTCAAGTAGCAACAAAATAATGGTACTTTCAGCGCTATTTTTCTCCGTAGAGGCAGCAACGTCGAGTATAATCACGTAGTAAATGTATCATAACCTGGACAAATGTGCGTCACAAATCTAAAATGTGATTTCATGATGCACCCAGTCGTTGATCGACAATTTTAGGTGGGGGTATTTAGCTGGGCACTTGGAGTACCCCTCAAATAGTACCCCACCCCCCTGGGCGGGGTACTAACTTAGTACCCCAGGGGCACAATTAGAGGTTTTACAGTATTAGTAAGTGACTTTATTTGGCCTCGGCCATTGAAATCTTAGTGTTTTTTTTCTTCTTCTACAGCTTCCTCTTTCTTGTTCTTGACGGTGTCTCGTTCTGCTGGCGAACCCTGATGTTCGTTCACGCGGGGGCTCTTGATACTCTGGTTCATTCCAGAGGTGAGAACAGGCCTTAGTCAAGATGAGGGTGGGGGAGTCGATGCCGCAATCCACGACACTTGTTTATTTCTGCCAATGGTTTCATGTAAAGCGAACATATGTGATCAAAGCGGGATCTTACACGGAATCTCCACCATGCTCCAAACTGTACGTATTTCTTCCATTCCTTACACTCACCTCACATCGTGAATCCCAGCAAGCAAGCACGATGAACAGGTGCATTCTCCTGCTCGTGACGGCGCTCGTCACCCTCTTACCGAGGGGCGAAACTCTCCCGGCACACACTGCGGATTTCGATAGTGCCTTATCGAGCTTGACCCTCCCAGGCGAGAGCCACGCGACCCAGACGGTCATTGCCGCCAAGCGATCGCTCCGGGCTCTCAAGACGACGAATAGTCCACGCGACGAAGAAGAACGAGACATATCGGGGCTTGCCAAGAAGGTGGCGTCATGGGCCAGCAAAACAAAACTGACCAATATTCTGCAGAAGCGAATGCAGGTCAAGGCTGAGAAACGAGTACAGCTGATCAAGAAGCTGGCTGACAAGAGCCCCAACAACCTAGACGCGATTTACCGAAACAAGATCACGCCAGACGAGTACTTCGAAGCGATGGGTTTTCATTACAGCCTGCGTTTTGCCAGTCCTCGTCAGATCGATTACGCAGCGAGAACCACTCCCGGCCTCCGAAAATGGGACGAATACGAGAAGTTTTACTTCAAGCGCAAGACGTCGTGAGCAAGAAAACTCTTCATGCCTTCGGCTATGGTCGACTTCCAACTCCTAGGACGTTATTGACTGTGAGTACAGAGATTAAAAACGCATCCGTGTTGTCACCGCACTGCGTGTGGACTGCTTTTTAACGCTGAGAGCTTTCAAAAAAGCTGTCAGCGTTGTAGGACGCATGAAGAAAATTCATCCCGTCCAACTCGTTCAGCTATCCTGCAGTAATCGCTGGCCAAAACCTTGTTTGCCGGGTTTGATTCTCTTGAATTTGACCAATTTTGTGCCGACCATGTCGATTCTAGCAAGCCTGGGCTGGACACCGCCCATGCTGATCTACAGTACAAGTGCTACGAAGTTATGTTGCTTATGTTTTGTGTTGAATTTGTTCACTTAACTGCTAGGAATTTGTTTGCTCGTCATGCGTACTCCGCTTGATTTTATTGTTCAGTAGCAAGATGCGTGCGCCGGTTACGGGTTCGACTGAATGACCTGCGCTTTGTCCACCAAAATGGCGAGGGCATTTTAAGCAGCCTTCTCCAAATGCTGGCTTCAAACGACACGTTGGAATACCTTGACGTTGCCATGCCATCACGACCCTCGAGCGATCTTGTGGCCTCATTCAAAGGCACCACCGGGTGCCTACGAAGCATGCGCTTGTTCTCCCAATTGAGAGTAAACTTGTGTTCCTGAGTGTGGCTGTGCCCTATCACACTGCTACAGCTACACGCAAAACGTGGAAACGCCGTGCACCAAGGACAATGGAACTGGACCAGCACGTTCTTTCGAAGATCCTATCGTTTGCTGCACCTCCAGTACTGCGGGAAGTATATCTTCAGCATACTCGTAGCGAAGGGGGGTTATTGGGATCACTGTTCGATTTTCCCATATAATCTGACGGAATTGGTGTTGCTTCATTCGAGGAAGTCAAGTTTTAACTGCACCTACAGCTGACAGCACGGCGCAGCAGCGTTAGTGACGAGAATCATATTTGGTAAGTGCGTTGTTATCTGAGGTGAAAGTGTTGAAGGTACTGCAGCTCACAACAGCATTTCGCCCCGTTCGTCTAGCTTATCACCTTTTCCATTACGGAAACACACCTGTCTAAGAACCGGATCTGCTGCAAAGGTAAAAATCTCTGAAATGACGTGACGGTCCATTCGCCAGCGTAAGCTCTGTGGTCTCTCGGCTGCTGCGGGTCGCTTCTTCGCCGGACTCAGTGACTGCAACACGCTCAAAAACGCGAGCTTGGCTGCAGCTGACAGTGGATTGAGCGGTCGGCAAATTGGCCCTTGGTGGTGCTCGTAGAACTCGTCACCGTATCTCTCATAACCAGGAGGTACAACAACCTCGAGATATTCCAAGCTTTTGTTGACGCTCAGCATTCGCAAGAGCGCCGATAGACGACGCTCGATGAGGTTTGCGTGGTCGAACTCTGATAGAGTCTCGCTCTATTCTTCAAGTGTACTCGAAGTCGTCGTACGCAGGTTGTAAGAGGATTGTGGACGTCGCTCAACTGCTCCGAGAGCGTAGTAATCTCATCCCAGTCGAAGTTCAGCCCGTGAAAGGGCTTGTCCTTGGCGCGATACTCGCGGAAATCGAGCCGGACATCGACATAGTAGTTACTCCGCACCAGCTCCTCTAGCAGCGGACAGCACTGCATAATCACATCATCGCTCATAGCAACTCGGGGGCCTGTAAGGGTCAACGACTTCAGCTGATACCCTACAGCCTTGAGCAGCAACGGGAGACCGTAAGAAATGGGCACTTGATCTTTGTCAAACCCGATGGTGAGGGACGTTATTCCAGACGAAATTGGCTCGATGATATAATGTTCGACGAATGCCAGATCATCACGTCGCACTTGACAACGTCCGTAACCTGGAATTATGACGTTGACCCATTTACTTGTTCCGTTGTCGCTAAAAAATCGAATCAGCGTCACGGGCGTATCCAATATTAAGCAAGGAGAGCGAAGATCCGGCCGACCTCGGCTGTCAAAGCTCCAGCGAATCTCAGCTCCTTTCTTCAATAGCGGTAGTCAGAGTTGGATGCAAGAGATATCTCCAAGAGGTAAATTTAGCCAATCGGCGCCATTACCCGTCTCTTGGACTCCATGAGCTCTCTAGCCTCAGTAAGATCTCTTGGGTTCTAAGATTATTTTGACCAATCACTGACGTTTTTCTCTTGCAACCGCTCTTCGCGAGGACAAGTTCTTCAGGGTGCTCAGACTCCAGCACAGAGATGAAGTTCTCCATATCCTCGACTGTGCGTCTGTAGACGGCAAGAAGAGCCAGTGGTTCTACGGACGAATACACACGCGCTCGTTTCGAGAAGAAGGCGTATGCTATCCATTTCCACCAGTGACCACTTATAGCGGCCAAGTCACCATTGCTCCAGCTGGTCATCCCTAGACGTAACGACAGCCTTCTCGCAGTTTGATTCACCACAATCGCCTCAAACTCCCGCGCTTCCAGCAACGCGTTGCACTCAAGGTGAATTGCGGCCAGCTGAACGCATCGTTTTAACTGCAATGGAGAAAGTCCCAATGGCGGGGGGGGGTTCGACGCGTACTATCGAGCAAGGAGCTCATGATCCGTCCGAAGTCCGATTTTGTCGAAACCCCATCATCTTCGTCTTCGTCGTCGCTGTCCCATTCATCATGCCCACCTTGATTCATTTGAACCTCCAATGAAACCTGCGAAAGCCACATATTTTCATGGACCACAGTCTCGATAGCCTTGGCAATTTCAGAATTAATTGAACTGAACGTTAGGTCGAGCACCATCGGAACCAGGACGAACGTACACCGCGGCAAGCACAGCCCCTCATATTGAGGCGGGAGGGTTTGGTCGTACATTTCCCACTGTTGCCGGATGCGCTTCTCGGCATTGAATACTTGCAAGAGACCTGCTCCTGGCCGTCTCCACGCCTCCAACGACGACAGAATAACGCGGACAGGAATCTTGATATCCACGGACGGCTTTGTGCAGCTAAAAAGTGCTGCAACATCCTTCAGCGCTTGTAGATAGGGCCTGCTGTGGTGATGCAGCTGGCGAGTACCACAGAACATGACCAGGTCCTCGTCAACGTCCGCGAGCGTGTGGGTATCCTCAAACGTCCACAGTTTGAGGTAAAAGTCTTTTAAAAAGTGTACCTTCTGAGAGTCCAGCCCATCTGGAAGCCCTTGCCAACTCCAGCTTGATGGAGTCTTTGGGCAGATTGAGCAGCGCTGGGGGTTCTTGAATCGGTGATGGTTTTTACTGAAGCATCATATACATTTCGACTGCCCCCGACAGGACAGCGAGCGATGGGAGTCGCGTAGCAAGTGCCTCGAAGTGAGACTGCCGTCGTTACAAGAGAATTATGGCTCTACCGTGTTCATCACTGGGTTTGATGGCAAGGATGACCACCAATCTAGCCTGCAGTGGCTTCGTGAGGCGCTTGGGCTGTTGGCAATCGTGGAAAGTTTGGACTACGCCGCGTGGATTCATATTCTCGAGCGGCATTGTGGCATTAACCTGGGCGAGGAAGGGGAGGCAACGTAAGAAGGGGAGCTGAGCATCCACTACTCCCCCGGTCAGCACCAACTCCTCTAGACTTGGGCAACACTGGAGAATCGAGGACAGTTCGTCTCTCGGTGCATCCAACGCTAGGCGTTTTAGTGAAGACCCGACAGCACCAAAGAAGAGCACCAAACCGTCGGTAACGGAAGGTGCATCCTTGTAGAATCGAAGATTGAGGGAGGTTATACCTCTACCAACCACATCGCCATTGCTGCTGATTACATCACCGAACACCAAGTCGCGCCGCTGCACCCGGCATCGACCGTAGCCAGGAACGATAGCGTCAACCCATGTGCTCTTGCCATCGTCGCTAAAAGTCCGGATGAAAGGCACTGGCACATCGAAAGTGATGGCTTTAGTGTTGGTCGAACCGTTGAGATCATCCAGCACACATCGAATACGCGAGTCTCCGCTTAGCGTCGCGTCTCTCGCTTGCACTGGACCAGGCGGGGAACCGAACAAGTCTTCTTCCGGGTTATCGAACGTTAACATAGAGGTAAAGGCCTGCATATCTGACCGACTCATGCTGCGAATTCCAGCGAACGCCAATGATTCCACGGACGAGAACGCTTGCGCTCGCTTGGAAAAAAGCGCGTACGCCAGCCATTTCCAGCACTTTCGGTTTCTTTCTTGCTCTCGAATGTCCATGCAGAGCCGCAGCGTGAGCTTCCTTGTCATCTGCGTTTGTGCCACCGCAGAACACATCGCTCCAATGTCATGAACTCGCAAGGTGGAAGCACAAAGAAAATCAATCTCGCCGAGCTGCAGCGGGGGTCGATCACTAAAAGCAGGGTGGTAGCTCGTGTTCGCGATCTCTGGAGGTCTGCGCGTACTGCTAAACACACTGGAAAGGAGCCGGCCGTAAGATCCCACCGAGGGCATCACACCGACATTCAAAGAAACTGACAGCAGAGACAGCCAAGCGTTTTGCTGCAGCAGGACCTTGATCGTTGGCCCCATGTCTTCACACAGATCGATGACGCCCAGCTTGCCAATCATCCGCTCCAACACAAAAGTGCACCTCCATTCTCCGAGCACTGCGGCTTCGTCCTCGCCCGATCGAAGGAACCTTTCCCACTGCTCCTTGAGGGTCTGCTCTGCGATTCCAGCGTCAACAAGCTCGTTCACACCGTCGCTCGGTTCGGGAGGGGCAAACTCCACCCGGACGGGAACCTCAAAGTCGAAGCCCGCTTCTCGACGGTGCAAATTCTGCTCCAGAGCAGCAATTTGCTGCAGCGTTTCTCTATACTTCGCGCTGGGATGAAGACGTTGGTGCGGTCCGAAGAAGAAAAGCAGGTCGTACTCGTGTGCCCCGAGGTCGTGAAAGTCACGTAGAATGCTCGTTTGGGCATCATGATCCAGCATTACAGTGTACCGAACCGGGATCTTCTCCTCGTAGAGCGGCTCTCCTTCGACGCCGAGATGCACGCCGCAGTTTTTCTCCAGTAAATACCGCCACGCGTCGTAGTCCATGTGCGCTGCAGCTGCCAGCAGCGCCTTGGCCTCCCTCGTCTTCTGGAATTCGTGTAGGAAACGCACTTCATCGTCTGCATCCTGACCCTCTTCCCGCATTGGCAGCGTGACGGACGAGGTCCCCAGAGACCGACCGCGTTCGGGGCCTGTGTACGTGACTCGGCTCTTGAGCGCGTCGCACCAAGTAGCCAGGAATCCCCAGCGCTGCTCTATCCTCGTGCTCTATCAAGAGAGGCGAATATTTGGAAATGGGGGAGCTGAGCTGCCTCGCACCTCGATGCGTGCAGCACAAAAGAAAATCACTCGAACCACCGTAACAATGTCTACAGGCATCCCTTTAGTGCTGCAAGGTCGTCGTGTTGCGAAGTTCTATTCGAAATTCCAGAAAGCAGAAGCGCTTCTATTCAGACTGACAACGCCGAACCCAGACGCTCTACCCGCTACCTCAGAACGACAGCTCTATCTTAGCAAACTCTCTAAGCTTGAGCCTCAAACGCAGACTTTGTCACCTCTATGTGTAGATAGCCTGCCACTACCTAAAAAGGTGTTGTCCATCCCCAGAGACTTTGTACTGAAAATCACTGGGTTAGACTGGCGTTGTAGGCGCCATCGTACACGTCGTCGGTACCGAAGTAGGCGTTTTGGTACTCGACCGGGAGAGTCAGATTGAACGCCGGCACTTCGTCCACGCAAGACTTGTCCAATCCGTTGAGCTTGCCCTTGTTATTGGCATACGAGGCCAGAAGCTTTGCGCCACAAGTACTACCAGAATCGAGCTGGGTATACACGATCGTTCCGTGGATGGAGGTGTTGAACGTGACCATCTCCTTTTGGTCTCCGTCCAGCGTGTCCAGCAACGCCTCGGCGTACTCGTGCAACGTCTGAGCGTCCATCTTGCTACTGAGGAGGAGAACGCTGGCCTGGCTGGGGATCGTGGCGGTCTTGTTCCAGTACTGATCGCGCTTGTAGATGATGGGCTTCGCAGGATAGTTGCCGACGTTGAATTCATCACACGACTTGGATTTTTCCTTGGAGAAGGCGCAGTACAGCTCGGGCTGATTCACGAATACCCCAGCTGAAATGAGAGCGTTCTTGAACCGCTTGTCCATTTCAGCCTGCGAAGGCTGCGGGCGCTCCCACATCTCCGAGAAATAGAGGAGGCTGGTAAGTAGCGTGGACTCAAAAGCGGCGTCCTGGGATGTTGAGCTGGCGTACGTGTTGTAGTAGGCGATGAATTGGCTCAGAACTTCAGCGTCCTTGGCCTCACAGCGTTTCATGCGGTAAACGACCGGGGGGATGAGCTTTCGTAGCTCCGCATCCACCAGCATCGTGCCAAAAATCAGCGTAAGTGCACCCGAAGGTGCAAACTCTCCGTAGTATTTCAACTTCTTCAATAGACTGGCACAAGTTGAGTTCGGATCTTTGTCAAAGTCCGCGAGTAACCGTCGAAGGGTTGTTGGCACCGTGTTTGGCTCCTTGAAGTGACTGCTGCAGGTTGCGTCCTCATCGCACAACGCTAAGAAGCGATCGCCCACAATACCAAAGTCGATATCCCGTTTGGACATGTAGAAGAACTTGTCCGCTGAAGCTCCGGACGCTGTGGCGACGCCGTCCAAAGCGTATCCCGTCACCTTCTTGGGGTTCAAGTGCATCAAGCGCTCCACGAATAGAGTTCCATAGCTGGAGCCGTACACGATGGTACTGGCGTTATTCGTGTACTTGGCAATGAAAGTCGCCAAGTCCGTGGCCGAGCTTGTAACCGAGAACGCAGCGAGGTCACCATACTTATTCTCGAGTTCCTGAGCACAATCCGGAACTTCCGATGAGGCGAACTCCTTACCGTACGGAGATCCCGTGGTGGTAGACTGCGCGGCAATGCAGTCCAGATACGTGCTGCGACCAAGACCGCGGTAGTCCATAGTGTAGAGATTCGCGGTACCATTTAGTTGAGTGAGCACGTCAATCATCACCAATTCCACTGGAAATGACAGCCACAGCCACGTCAGAAAAATACCACAAAATACGAAAACCATACCGAGCACACTTACTGTTAGTGGACGAAGAGGGGCCTCCCTCGAGGAACCAAACGTTCGTAGCGGTCTCTGGGTCGCCGTTGGTTGCCGGCATGCGCTTCACGAAGACGTCGATGGTCGGGTCGGCGAACTTTGGCGTCTTGCAGATGCCAGGGTAGCACAAGGGCGCACTGAAGGTGGCGCATTCCGTGTACTGCCCAGTCGAGCTTCCTTCATCGGAGAAGGTGAAGTCGGTGCACTTGAACCAGCCATTCAGTCGGGTCTTGACGGAAGCTTCCGAGGCCTGGGAGACGATGGCCGCTAGGGCGAAGAGCTGGTAGAGACGCATTGGCCTCTTGTTGGCAAATTCGGAAGTGAGTTGGAGTGTTGAGGGGCTGACGAAGGGCGCCGTTATTGACTTGGTGTTTATGAATAGTACGGGTGTGTTGTTCTGTATTCATCCCGTCATGATTCCCGCTGTTGGCCAGCGGTTGCTTGACACAGCCTTGACCGACTGAGCGTCGCATTGTTCGAAACCATACGGCTCCAAGAATGATGGGGATTTAGACATGGCCATGCACTTATCACTGTCTCGATAATGTGTCGCTCCTGAAACCTCAATTCACCAAATTTGGTCCTGTGGATAAGTAATAGAACGGCCATGTGGTTGGTTGGACCCAGTTGACTATATTAGGAGAAAACTATGCGTAGAGATCAGTGTAAAAAGGCTACTTGGTTATGAATCTCTGGCGGATGATAGCTCTGACACAAAGGTTCATTTGACCAAAAGCCCAACGCCCCGGCATTTGCTGAAATGATGTCTTAGTACTTTGATGTTTCAGGAGCGACCCAATGTCGTTCAGGGCTACCGGTATAGAGTATCCAAGTATACGGTTTCAACCTTATCTGTATGTTGCGCGAGGACGTAAGGCTATCGGTATATACTTCATATTTGATGTAAAACAGGCATGGTACATAATACCCTGCGAGCGAAGCGAACCGATCCCCAAGCCAAGCGCGGTAGTTCTTTTTTTTGTTCTCCAGATACAAGGGGTTGTTTGGGTACGCATTGACCGTGAGTAGGACCGTATTGTTTTAAGCTCTATTGCTTTACGATTTGTATTGAAGATGCGCAGAATATCCTACATAACTCCCCAGGTAGGCTAACTTCTACAGCCTTTCCTTTGCCGTACAGGTTGCTATGTATAATTTGCAACAATATGGCAAAACATGTATGGCAAAAGAAAGATTGCATATTAACCACCATATCAAAGTCACGATAGCACTGTTTCTTAGTATTGCCTGTGGTAAGTACAATTGTGCATCACAAAACTGCATGTTATACTTCTCGTCATCTACATACTTATACATTATTTTTTAATCCTGTTTATGGAGACTTCTGTATGTATTATCCTTACCAAATGTACATGCCTTAACATGCCGCGCCTACGTGTTATGGTGTGTGCATCCCATACAACTAGCCGAGCGCCGCCGCTACGCGGCGGTCAGTTTAGGTAAAAACTACTGGGTGTGTACGCGCCCCCGTTCCGCTCGCCTCGTCGGCTCGCTGCACTACTATCAATGTCAGGTTAGTAATACAGAGGTCGGGGCGGGCCCTGCGGCCCCGCAATATCCTATGGTGGGGTCGCCTTCGGCGACACCGCGTGGACAATTGAGGAGAATCTCTTTAGGATGATCAGCTTCAAGCACAGCAGTACATGCCTCGATGCTTTCTACGCTCATGTGGCTTAGCGGAACTAGCGCAAGCGATTCCCACTTTGAATGAGACCAAACTCTTTGTGAGTTCCCACCAGCAAGGCAGCGTGTGGAGCTCCTCTGGATCGGAGTTTAGTGAGATGGAAATCGAACCGCGTATTTTGTTTTTGACTCTAGGTTATGCACCAAATGTTCGATCTCGAGATGAGCCGAGCGTACACAATTTCAAAACGCTAAATTTGCATCGAGGTGACTTTGTTGCTACAGACGAACCAAAAGTACCTGACGAGAAGTTTTTTCCCCGATTCGCGAGTTTCAATGCTGATGCAGCCTGTTGAAGCTGTAGAATTCATTACCCGGTGAGACTAGCGCTTGGAACCCGCCGTTTTATTGCAGCTTGGCACGATGGCACTGTGCCTGTGCTACATGCATCAACAACAACGGTCAATTATAGATGCAAAACTAAGGCAAACCTTTGACTCTGCATTTATCTGGTACAGGTCGATCTGTTTTTATTGTTTTTCTTGGGAAGCAAACTATCTACACATAGAGCCTCATAGAACTATATAGAAGTACATGCTACGTTCAACCTGTCCTAATGCTGTATGTAAGGGAAATGGCCAATCTCGGGCCAATTTTGGAAAGGAGTACACAACTAGGGTATCGATGAAAAGCTTGTGATTTTGCTGAGTTGATTGGCTATTCAGTACCTTGTAGCCCACTGAAATAAACGCAGTATGGGTTACTGAACAACAGCGACAGCCCTTGCCAATTAAGGGCCGATTCGTTTGACTTGGTTTCATTATAGAACCGAAATCTGTCATTTGTATGGTATACTATAAGCGACCAGTCGATATTTGTACATGTATGGGATGCAGTAATCTAGACGGACAGTTTTCCTGAAGTAATGATAGCCAGCATCAACAACTGAAAATAAAACGTGCTTCCAGATCATAGGAAAGCTGAGCGCTGGGACAGATACATGTACATTCAACGATAACACGGCAACGGTAACGCATAAAATACATACCCAAGAGCAAAAGTTACGATACAATTTATTATGAGGAATAAAATACATGCCTGCGCAACGATAGCACAACAGGTGTGGCCCCTCTTGTATTGCGCGAGCCACAGTTCATCCATGCCACAGCAATTTGTTGGTACTGATGAGCACCAGCATTTTACGCCACAGACAGTGTCCAAGGGTTCCTGTGGTCACGAATAAGCACTGAGCTACAAGTGTTGTCAGTAGTAATGTCCTGTTCCACCCAGCAACATTGACGTTGTTTAGGACGCAGGAGGTCCGACTCGAGCGCATTTGCCTGCTACAACGCGCTACTTCAATGATCAGTTTGTATTTTTGCTATGCGCCTTCGATGCTTGCATATTATATAAGACAACAACGCCTAGGGCACTTTTTCTTCATTTACAGTAGATATTTAACGGCATGCCGTGCTCTCCACCCCTCAACACAGTAAGCCCCAATAACGTTTCTGACAATCTCAGCGCCTCAGTAAACACCGACGTGGTGCGGCCAAGCCAGTAACAACACCGCAGCATGGCAGTCAATACTTGCTGCCCATCATCCAAATACCGCAGCACCGGGACTAACTAAGTTAACGGTTTTTGCTGTACTGGATGTCTTGGAGGTTATGATTTAGTGAACCAAAACAAACAAACAAAAACTTTTAGAAAACAAACGCATTGAAGCATCACGTCTGGTCGTGCATACATCTGCAACAAAACCAAATAGTTATCTAGACGGGCTCATCATCGTAGAGAAGCTCGTCCATGATACGGCGTGAAATGCGAAAGTAGACTTCTCGGAGCACAGGCTCCGCTGCAAACTCGAAAATATTTGTTAGCACGTGCTGGTTCAGCGGCTTCGTCAGTTTTGCTCCGGTTCGTCGTTTGATGCTCATTTCTGGTTCAGTTGCCGTACTGAGGAGCGCGATTTTTCTCCCACGCGGTAACGGTTCAACCGCGCGCCAGATCGGTTTGAGATGGTGGCGCCTGAACATTGGCAGATAGTGCTCGTAGCAAGGGTGGACAACCACTTCGCGATATGCCAGGTACTTGTCCCCAAATCGGCTGTAACGTGATGCTCGAGGTCTCCTGAATGATTTATGCGAGCTCGTACCCGGCGTGAAGGGGGCTGTCGTTATCTGCAAGAACCGCCGCAATAGCCGAAGTGGAATCCCAGTTCTGGTAAAGGTTCTCCATTCGCGTAAAAGCAGCAGAAATTCAGTCGAGCATCTACTACTCCTCCAGACAATGACAACTCCTCTAGACTTGCGCAACACTTGATAATTGATGATAAGTCATCTCTCGGTGCATTCAACATTAACCGTTTGAGCGAAGACCCAATAGCACCAAAGAAGAGAGTCAAACCGTCCGTAACTAACAGGGGATTCTTGTCGAATCGGAGTCTGAGAGAGGTCACTCCTCCACCGCTATCAACCGTGTTGTCTCTGCTGCTGATTTCATCGTCGCACACCAAGTCGCGCCGTCGCACTAGACATCGGCCGTATCCAGGAACGATAGCGTCAACCCTCGTGCTCTTGCCATCGTCGCTAAAGGTCCGAATGAATGGTACTGGGTCGTCCACCGTGATGGTTCGAACATTGGTTGAATCGCTTAGATCACCCAGCACACATCGAATACGTGAACCACCTTTTAGTGTTGCATCTCTCGCTTTCGCTGGACCAGGTGTCGAATCAAACAAGTCTTCTTCCGGGTGATCGGACGCCAGAATGAATGTAAACGCTGACATGTCCGACACAGTCATGCTAGAAATGATCAAGTCCACCGACTCCACAGACGAGAGCGCTCGAGCTCGCTTCGAAAAGAGAGCGTAAGCGAGCCATACCCACCACTTGGAGTTGTTTCCGTGGTCTCCTCTTTCCGTGGACAAGTCTAGCGATAGCTGCCTTGTCATCTGCGTTTGTACAACGGTAGAACACAACGCTCCAACATCACGAAGCAGCAGGTCGGAGCCACACAATTTGTCAATCTCGCCCAGCTGGAGCGGAGAAGTATCGTATATATCTGTGAGGCCAACACCAAAACGGTGGTTCGTGTATGCGGTGTCTGGGGGTCGGCGCGTACTGCTAAACACACTTGAAAGAAGCTGGCCGTAAGATTCCTCATAGGGAATGGAATAGTCATCCAAACAAAGGTCCAGCAGAGACAGCCAAATGTTCCGGTCTAGCAAAACTGCAAGTGTTGGGCCCATGTTCAGACCGAGGGTACCCAATCTTGCCATCATCGGCTCCATAACAAATGTGCATCGCCATTCTCCGGGCTCTCGCTCTCCATGGAAACAGAAAGTTTCACCCACACATGAGCCTCCAAGTCAACCCCCTATAAATGTTGGTCAATAGCAGCAATTTCCCTTAAGGTCTCCAGATATTCAGCTGTGGGGTGGAGCCGCTGGTGCACCCCAAAGAAGAAAACCAAGTCGAATTCGTGCGTCGCGACGTCACACAAGTCACGGATACGGTTGATTTGGCTCTGGTGGTCCAGGACTACCACAAACTGAACTGGAGTTTTCTCCTCGTACGCCGGTTCCCCATCGACGCCAAACTCCACGAGACACTTTTTTCTCCAGCAAATACCTCCACGCCGCACGATCCACGCTCGCTAGCAGCCAGCAGTGCCATGGCCTCCCTTACTTTCTGGAATTTTGGTCGGAAGTCTTCCTCTTCGGCGGTATTCCGCATAGGCAGTTCGATGCGTAGTAACCGACCGCACTCGGGCCCGTGCGCGTGACTCGGTTCTTGAGCATCGCACCAGGGGGCCAATAATCCAGGAGTGGGCGCAGATTTTGACGTGTGGTGGAAAAAATAAAATCTGGACAATGGCTACATCCCGTTATTTGTTATCATAACGTGACTATAGCCTGGCAAAATGCCGCTACGTTCTTATACAGCGCTACTACATCTACAGCGCTGGCGGAGAAAGTGGCATTTAGACAGCACTTGTCGAAACTCTTGGCGTTTAATTTTTCATAGTCTCTCCACGAAAAGGGCGGAAAGCCATCAAATGTGTACTTCGGGCTGGTATTCGTCATCTTCATCCCTCGGCAAGCGGACGTATACTTGACGGAGTACGGGAGTAGCAGCAAACACGAAGACATTGGACAGCACATGTGCATCCAGCCTGCAGTTTGATGTTGCGACAGACCCTGACTTCGGACGCCTCCTTTTGCTTCCCAACGAGTTCAACGGATCGGAGGATGAAAACACACTCAGGAGTGCAACCTTCGACTCTGTCGCGAGTTTAAGAGCTCGGCTAACGCGAGTATGATGATACTTCCTCAGTCGATGGATATCCGTAGATTCACTGGGCAGTGCAACCACGTCAACGCATTCGAGGTAATGGTTCACCTCCAGCATCTTCGAGAGTTTTTCGACCTCTACGTCTTCGATAGGGCGCCAATGGCGTAGTAAGTTGAGCCGCAGACGTCGAGCACATTTCGCAATCGGTGAATTAAGCTTTGCACAACTGCGCCAACGTCATTCCAGTTACAGTCCAGCGCTGGAAGAGACTGTTTGCTCGCGTGGTAGCTGCTAAAATCGAGGCGCACCTTGACACTTTCAGTGTAGATAGCCAGCTCCTCTAGGTTCGGGCAGCATCGCAAAACCACGTTGGTGGCGATTTGCCCCGGAAAACTCAGCGTCAAGGACTTCAATGACATCCCAACAGAAGCTAGAAGAAGGGGTAGTCAGTCCATCGAGATTCGTCCACTCAGCGTCGTTAAACTTCACTCGTCGATCTGCGCCGTGGAGCTCAAGTCGCCGGGAGGACCAATCAGCAGGCAGTAGCCAGCTGACCCAGCGGTCCGGCCAATCAGAGCGCGCCGGTGAGCAGAGCCAGTCGTTCCTGGCGACCGGAGCTCCAGCGAAAGGCATGCACCTACGGCTGGGCAGCTCGGGGGTGAAGCCGCGGACCAAGCTGGATTTCTACGTCGCTGCGTGCGGCGGCGTATTGCGGCGGTCTTTTGACCGTCAGCCGGAAGGCGGGGCCTGTGGGGGGTCCACGGTGGTCTACATGTAGCCCATCGCGCCGTTTCCCATTACAAACCAGGCCACGGGTGACGCCGTGGGCCCTCCTGGTAGTCATAGCCTACAAAGGTTGCGTGCGATACTGGCAGGTCACCAGATCGTCGGGTGTGCGGCACTCCAACGTGCGCACACCCTCCACAGCACTCGTAGTGACGCGCGGGAGCATGCTGTCAGTCAACGTGGCCTGCGCTACATGGAGCTGGCTGCGACGGGGTGGTCCTCTCATGGTGCACTCATGGCGCGGCGGGGCGAAGAAAATCGCAGTGGCAGAGACCCAGATACGGCTGACTCGGGGAAGGTGACGACACGTCGCCGCATAAAGCGCTGCTGGGGCGCTCGCTGGTGGCCTGCAACACATTGGGAAGAAGGAACGCAAGTCGGTCCAGGAAAATGCAGTGGAGAACTCAAGCTTCGGAGGGCAGGCGCTGCTGAAGGAGCAGCGGGACCGCGTTCGCTGTCCGCGGTACCAAATCGACGGAAGTCGAGTAGACCGTTTCAACTATTCGGCGGGGCATCGGGAGATATGAGCTCGGTGTTGACGGTGGATGCGTCGGTCGTTATCTTAGTTAGGATAAATGAACTCAATCTAACCTCAACCTTGAAATGAAAAATGAAAGCGTCGTTAAACTCCAGGAACAGCGAGCAGATGCCGCCATGAGCAGCTGTTGGCGTCGTTTTTGTTTCAGAAAGCACGAGATCACTACGTTTGACCAGACATCCCCCAAAGCCCGGAACCACTGCGTTGACCAGTTCGCTACCCCCGTAAAAGGCCAAACTGAGCATGGCGTGGTCAAAAACAGCGGCTCAACGCCCTCGCTCGCCTGACCACTGCTCGTAAGCCGCCAGTAAACGGGGCTTCCTTCCATCAGGGTTGCATCTCTATGTGGGACTTGGACAGCCGCAAAGATCTTCGTCTGGGTGGTCCGATGTCAAGATCGACGCAAAGGCTTCGGCGTATTCGACCGCCAAACTGTCATGGAAAGCAAGTACTAGCGACTCGAGTGCTGAGGACTGGCGAGCTCGATTCGAGAAAAAGGCGTAAGTGAGCCATTTCCATTTGCGTACGCATTCAGCATTATTGATCCTATCGGCTGGCATCGAGATGTACATGCAAAGTTTTTTGGTGCTCTGGTTCGTCACCATAGCCGAGCATATAGCCGAACACATCGCCTCAAACGTGCTACTAGTATTGAAATCACAATGCAGGTCGACCGAGCCGAGTGTTTGTGGTGGGGATGTATCACTCGATGGAGTATCCACGTGGTAGCCCGTGTAGGCACGTTGGCGAGGACGACGCTCGTTGTCGAAGATGCACCACATCAATCTCCCGAACTTGAGTGTTGCCGCAAACGCATCTTCTCGAAGGCTGTCGATCAAACTGAAATGCACAGGTACGAGAGGGTTGGACAGCATCATACTCATCACCAAGTCCACCATGCGATGTGTAATACGAGATTCTCCAAAATTTACACAGCGACCCTGGCTGAACGTCGACGTCCCTCGTAGTTCCAGTAAACGTCTCCCACTCCTCGTGCACCTTCAATTCAGCAGTCCAAATATTCTCCAGCGGCTTCAGATCTCGCGGCTTCAGATCTTGGTCTTGATTAATCTCTGGTGCCGAAAATTACACTTTTACGGGGATCACCACGTCCACGCCAGGCTTGTCCTTCGGTAAATTACCAGCAAGATCTGCAATTCGCTGCAATGTTTCCAGAAACCCCTCGCTTGCATCTGCTCGCTGCAATGTACCCGGACGAGGCCGTCGTTTAACTTTTTGGGATACTTAAGTACGCGCATTCCGTCCCCCTCTTGAGCAGATAAAGCTGGAACCGAACAGGAATATTTTCCTCGAAAATTTCATCGCCCTCCACCCCTAGATCCACGTCACAGTGATGCTTGAGCAAAAATCTTCACGCGTCATTATCCACGTGGCCCACAGCAGCCAACAGCGCCAAAGCCTCCTGAAACTCCTGCTTCTTGGCATCCAGCTTTTTCCCTGCCACATTGTGCACTGGAGCGTACACTGCGAGGAAGCGTCGCTTGTCCGCCCAGTCACCCTCGCCATCCTCCGGGGCCCTGTAGACGATTCGCCCGCGTAGTACGTCCGTCCACCGCCTCAGGAACTCCCACCGTTGCTCAAGCCCCTCCACCGTCACGAAATAACCAGGTTACGCTACGCGTGGCAGCGGGGTTACTCGGCTACTCTCATACTTCAAGAAGTAGTCCGTAAATGTTAATGCATAGTTATTAATACGCTGTAAATCCAGTGTACGTCACACGCATGTATTGTAGTCTCTAGGCAGCACCACCACTCGTGACCCGCCACTTCCAGCAAACCAAGGAATCACTCTGACTGACAAAGCGGAACCCTCTCGCTCGAAGCCACTCGTTGAAATGCCAATTTGATCGATCTGCTAGAAACTCGCAGCCTCCGAGCTCATGCTGGCAGTGGAGAAGCAGCCACTCCATGATTTCCAGGCGAGAAGTCGACAAGATGCACGCTGAAGGAAACCGAAAGTCTTGTGGCCGCTCTGCATACAGAAACATGACAATCTCAAAGTTGCCGCGAGACACAGCGTCTTTGATTGCCGCGGGGCTGCAGCCCTCGCTTCGATGTGTGTGAAGCCATCGGACAACTTCGAGATGGCCGGCGCTGCACGCGCTATCCATTGCGCGCGTCGTGCAGCCTTCCGTACGTTCATAGTGTAAAAACTTCACAACGTCGAGATAACCCCTCCCTGCTGCTGAATCCATCGCTTCGGTGCTGCATCCTTCATTTCGATTTATGTGTAGGAACTTTACAACCTCCAGTTGGCCTCGAGATGCAGCCATGTCGATCGTCGCAGCTGTGCATCCTTCGCTTCGGGTTTCATGAAGATATTTCACCACTTCTAGGAAGCCACCGACGGCAGCGCGATGCATTGCTGCGTTGGTACAGCCCTCTCTTCGGTTCTCGTGGAGAAACTTGACGACGTCAAGGTGTCCATTCGCTGCTGCTCGATCCATGGCAGCAACAGAGCAGCCTTCAGTCCGGTTGTAGTGTAGCCATCTTACCATCTCAAGGTTGCCTCTGGCTGCAGATGTATCCATCGCGGTCGTCGTGCAATTCTCCGTTCTGTTCGCACTCAGCCACTTGACTACATCCAAATGGCCACTCTCCGCAGCACTATCCATCGCTGCAAAAGTGCATCCTTCACTACGATGAACGTGTAGCCATTGCACAATTTCCAGAAACCCAAAGCTCGCAGCTTTGTCCATGGTTTGAGTAGTACATCCCTCCGTGCGATCTTCGTGTAGCCATGACACCACGTCCAAGTGCCCGTTCTGCGCTGCTCGATCCATGGCGGCTTTTGTGCAGCCTTCACTTCGATTGGAGTGCAACCATTGCACCACTTCCAGGAAACCCTTCCTCGCAGCGCCATCCATTGCTGCAGTAGTGCAACCTTGACAGTTATTTTCATGTAGCCATTTCAACATCGCCAGATCTCCGTTCTGGGCAGCCTTCTCAAACGCAGCACCCATACGACGCTCACCCAAGTCGTCATGCAACCACTGCACGATCTCCATTCGACCGTGATCGGCTGCTACCCCCACCGTTCGATCTCCTGGCCGAGCGTACCCATCTTGCACCGCCCACTTCAAAAACCACAGGCAACCATCTCCTGCAGCGCGATCGAAGTTCACGGAGCGATCCTCCAGCTCACAATTCATGACAACCCACTGTGCTAACTCCCAGTGATACTTGTCCTGCGCCGTCCTCTTGGCGCCGTCAGCACTGACTCCATACAACCTGTGTATCCATTCCACCAGGCCCTGATCTCCTTGCGCCGCAGCCACGAGCATCAACTTGGCAGCGCACTCTTGATGGGGTGCGGCATTAGCTTTCAGCCACTCTACAGCTTCAACATCCTGCTTCCAGGTCGCTCCACCCATCTCCATGCCGCCCCAATATCCGAGATCCCGGTGGTGGGAATGTAGCCATTTCAAGATGCCCAGGTGTCCTCCAGCTGCTGCTGCACTGACTGTCTTGGTAAGGAAGCGGTTAGGACAATAGTACTCCGCGAGCCATTTTAACGTCTCCAAGTCTCCTTGCGCAGCAGCCGATGCCGCTGCGTCATTGAGAATGGACCACTTGTAGCTTGTATCCATGTTGGCTTGCTCTCGCGCACTCAGAAACTTTACCAGGCGCAGACTTGGCGTGTGCGCGTAGCCCGTAGCCACTGTCCACTGGAGCGAGACAACGTCCACGAACTCGTCGATGCTGCGAGCAACATGAGGAAGATCACCGCGCCGGGACGGTAAACACTCGCGGCAGACCAGAGCGACGGCAGTGAATAGCGGGAACCCAGCAGACGTACCCATCATTTCAGACTGTAAAACGAAGAGAGTGTTAAAATGCAGTTAGTGTGGGAACCAAAATAAAGCCATTTTGCGACGAGGCGAGTCCGAAGGAGCATTAGCAATTCTTAGCTCCGTGGTTCAATACTTACAGAAGTAAGCATGGCGGGCCCTAAAATTATTGGGTAATTTATTAATATTTGTAAAATAATTATTGGATAATTTATTTTTACTCATTGGCGTAACATTCAATCAACATTCACCAGATAATCATTTTGGTGTTTTATCCAGTCAAAAAAAAAATCGGCAATAATGACACGGCAGCACCGCTGGGGGTTGCTATCCCCGTGGTGCTCGGTGCTCGGTGCTGCGGAACCGGATCAGCTACCGCTGGCCCGAGCGCGAGGAGGAAGTCTGGGACATCGGCCGTCGTCGCCTGGAGGTTTATCTGCCCACCGCCCGCGACAAGTTCGAGTACGCGGGCTTGAAGTTCCCGAAGTATGCACTCCACAATCGGATGAATGGCCGCATAATCCTCTGTCTTGGTAAGCTTGACCAACTGCAACGACCAGCAAAAGACCTCCACCCAGCGGTTATGCCATCAAATCCGACAGAACACTGGTCCAGTACTCAGCGGCTGGAGAAACCGAATGCCAACATCAAGGCCACCCATCGATGAAGCACGACAGGTACGGCTTCATGAACCTTAGGTGCTGGCCTACTACTCAAAACCACTTCTTTTTGTTAGCTTTCACGTCTTCAAATTCAAAGAGCTTCAGTTGGATCGTTGCAGGCACGTTGCCTTGGCCACAGCAAAACGAAGCCAGGCCGCTAGAGTAGATGATATTAGTTGCTTGAAGGCCTGCTCCAATAATAGTTGCTTGAAGGCCTGCTCCAATAAGATCCCGTGGCCTGGATGAAGGGGGCGATATACACAGTTAAACGCCAATCCGTGGATTTTCACAAGTGAAAAAATAATTGATAACACAGCGGTAGGTACACTATAATGCTACGACGAGAAGTTTCACTGGAATTGGTGTGAATTCAAATCGGCACGGGAACAGAGTATTCCCATGTGTCGCGAGTTGGTTTGAAGGTATAGACTCGACGAAGAAGCGGAGGGGCTGCAAACAGGAAAATCTTCGACAGCACATTCTCATCCAACCTACCCAACGAAGAGAGTGAAATATTTTCTTCATGTTTCCTCTTCCTGCTTGACTCCTTTGCATACTGCGGGAAAATCACACTCAGTAGCGCAACTTTAGCGTCAATCGGCAGCTTCAACAATCGCATCATGGGCTTGAGATGATGTTTTCTTAAGCCAGACACATCACCGAGGTAGCCCATCGGAGCGACTGCGTCGAAGTACTCCAGGCTTTTGTTTATCTCCAGCATTTGGTGTATCACGTTAATCGCGTCCTGAGGAGTTGCTTCGTTAGCCCCATTTTCTCTGTCCCAGTCACCCATCCAAATGTAGAGATGCTGTCGAAGCCGTCGAACGCATTGTGCGAGTGGGCTACTGTTGTCGGTTAGTCTTGTCAACAAGACACGAACATCGTCCCAGTCACAGCCCAACTCTGGCAGTCCTTGGTGAGTTGCCCGATAGTCGCAAAAGCTGAGTCGCGCCTCAACCCGGTGTCTGCATAGAGCGAACTCGTCCAAGTTCGGGCAACACTGGAAAATCACGCGGTCATCCAGTTGCAGACTGTCTTCTTTCAGTGAGAGAAACCTTAACGGACGACCGACCGCTGCTAAAAACTTTGGAAGCCCCTCATGGTCAACTTCGCACGGGCACGGGAATGAAAGCGTAAGTGATGTTACTCCACGCGAGCTCGCTCTCACTGAGGTTGTGTGCGCGAACACGAGGTCGCTTCGTTGAACTTGGCACCACCCAAAGCCAGGAATCATCACATTCACCAGCGTACTCTCTCCATCGTCGCTGAATGTTCGAACGGATGGAATAGGCTTGTCCAGTGATATCGGAATGGAATCCGTCCATGGTTGACCTTGGTCGTCAAGATCCCAATGAATCTCACTGTAGGCTTTCAGTGTCGCTTCTCGTTCTTCCACTCGGCCTCTGGAAGTCCCACACAGATCCTCCTCTGGATGCTCCGATGCTACGATGCTACGATAGCGCTGAAAGCTTCCATGTCCTCGACGGTCATGCTGTCCACGGAAGTGAAAGCCAAACATTCGAGCGAAGAGTATTCACGAGCTCGCTTGGAGAAGAAGGCATAGGCCAGCCACTTCCAGCTTTCGCCACTATTGGTAGCGTACTTCGTGCTGATACACAGATGCATAGATACATTTTTGGCCGTTTGGTTGGCCACAATAGCTGAGCACATGGACTGGAAATCACGACAGCGCAGGGCGTGGTCACAGTCCAAATCAATCGTACCAAGCTGAAGTGGAGACGATTCACGTTCAGCTTTGCCGTCCGAGGCGAAGATCCTATTCATCGGATACGGTTGCTGCGGAGTGTTGAAGAGGGTCATCATTAGCTCTCCGAAAGTCAGCTTCGAAGTTCCCTTGACTTCAAACAGCATGCCCAGCTGGCCCATCCACAAGGAAACTTGAGAGAACCACACATTCTCCTGCACCAATGCAATCACCAACTCGACGTACTCAAAGGGCGTCCCCCTCTCTCCAAAGTCCAAAATCATCGGCTCCATCACGAAAGTGCAGCGCAGCGATCCAGACTCAACTTTATTCTCCATGTTCCAGTCGTATATCTCCCACTCCGCTGTGACCAGTTTTTCCGCGTTCCAAATGGCTTGCAGCGCCCTCACCCCATCCGAGGGGTCACTCGTCTCAGCGAAAGCAGTCGCGCCGGGACTTTGATGTCAACACGAGGCTTGTCTAGCGGTAAATTACCAGCCAGATCTGAAATCTTCTGTAACGCGTCCAGATATTCTTGCCTAGCTTCGGTCCGTTGGTAGACTCCAAACCACCGAACGAGGTCTTGTTCCAGGTTTTGGGGGAAACTGTAGCGTGTATCCCCTTTGATCATGTAAAGTTGGAATAGAACAGCGATTTCTTCTTCGAATATTTCTTCTCCTTCCACGCCGAGGTCCACGCCACACTGGTGCCCCAGCAAGTATCTCCACGCGGATTGGTCCACGTGCACCACAGCAGCCAGTAGAGCCAAAGCTTCTCTAAACTTCTGGATCGTGGCCTGGAAATCGTTTTCCGCTGCTTCGCTGAGACTTCGCTCGTAGTTACGTGTCGTACTGTCTTTGAACCGCGCAGGGGGGTAAACTTCCAGGGAGCGTCGCTTGAAGGCCCATATGGCTTCATCCGACTTAGGCCAACAGTACTTGATGTGAGTGCGTAGCACCTCCGTCCATGGAGCGAGGAAGTCCCAGCGCTGCTCCATCGCGTTCTCAGATGGTTATACCAAGCGACACATGTAATCAGTTACACTTTGGCTATGAAACGTAATCATGTATACTGAGGTGTATACTCCTCGAGGCGACAGATAACCGAGAGTGCAGGCGAACCAAGGATCGCCATCGCAGAGCGGTAAAAACCCACCTTGGAGAGCAAAGGACACTGGGGCAAGACCTATTGAGAGGCATCAAAGAATTGCTTGTTCGACTAAGGAATCGGCTCACTTGACCCTGCCAGGCAGCGAGTGCTTTTATCAGCAACTTTAATAAGGTTATGCATCTGTCAGCTAACATGCTTGATCTTCCAGAACTTTGACTTCATCCCTATAACCACTGTCAGAAACTTTCTGGTCTTATCAATTCACGTAAAACAATTTCTCTCTCGGTGAAGCATCTCAAGACCCTAAACGGCAAGCTGGCACTTCCAGTCATCGAAATAGCAACAGCGCTATTATAGTACGAACAAAAATGAAGAAAACACACTTCGAAGTGGTTTTTCTTCATTGTCCAGCTTCCACCACTCGACGAAGCCCTTATATTTCTTGAAACTTCACGGTCTGCACATGGTTGGGACGAAGAGATACGCGCACCGACCGTAGCTTCACGTTCACTAGGCATAACGGACATTCATTAATTCTGGCTGAAATCTACGACACCCTGTCCAGTCATCGACCATTCCTTCATTTCGCACTTGCATCGTGCCCAACAGTGCAGACTATATGGGAATGTCAAACAACTCTCCCGTCGGCCCATCATCGTGTGAACCATGAAGGTACACCTCCCGCAAAAGTCGAGGTGCAGCGAACTGCAAAAACTTGGAGAGCACGTGCTGGTCCAGCTGGTAGTATCCTCGGATTGTTTGCAAAGCACGACGCTTCCGCGTTTTGCTTGCCTTGGTAGTCATGTGGCGAGGAGTGAGCACACTCAGGAACGCCAATTTGCTCTCAAGTGGGAGAATGAGCGCACGTTTGATAGGCTTCAAGTGGTGTTTTTGAAATGAGGCAACAGCTCACTTGAATGACGTACTGGCGTGATGATGTCGAGATACTCCAGAGTTTGGTTTGCTTCGAGCATTCGCAGAAGGCCACTCAAAAGATTATCAAAGTCTTGGCGGTCGGGAAGCATCCATGCATTCAGTAGATACACCAAACGCACTCGCATTCGACGCGCGCACTTTGCCAGTGGGTTGTTCGAATCCCCAAACTGGGTTGGCAGAGCTGCAACATCATGCCAGTCGCACGTGAGATCAGGCAGAGGTAAGCCGTTCGCGTGATGCTCGCTGAAGTTAAGCCGCATATCCACCCCGTATCCTCCATACATCGCGATCTCCTCTAGGTTTGGACAGCTTCTTATAATCCAGTTCTCGTCTATCTCGCCCCTGGCATCGTTAAGCGCCAAAAATTTCAGGGGAGGCCCCACAACAGCGATGAATTGAGGCAAACCGTCAGCCTCGTATGGATCAAACTTTTCGAGCCTAATGTGAAGCGAAGGCACGACCGATGCACTGGGCTCCTCCTCGGTAGACTCAGCAAAAACCAGATCGCTGCGTTGGACTTGGCAAACCCAGGGATCGTGACATTGACGAGCTCACACACTCCGTCGTCTCTCAATGGACATACTGGCCGGAAATTGGAGGCCAATTCTTAATGGAGGGGCTGCGATAGGCTGCAAACCAGCTGAGCTGATTGATGAAGTACGGCAGAACTGGAGCCGGATTGACCTGGGGTGGCTGGATGACGAAATGACGGAGTTCGAGGTTCGAGAAGCGCTCAAGCGATGCAAGCGTGGCAAGGCAGCGGGGCCGGACAGGCTGGGAACTCGTTCTACCGAGACTTTGAGGATAAACTTGTACCCATTATGACCCGCTTTGCCAATATGTGGCTTCAATCAGGAGTGTTCCCCACTTCGTTCAACGAGACCTACATATTCAGTATCGCGAAAAAGCCGCAGGCAACACACCCGCTTGACTTCCGGTCGATATCGCTTCTAAATAGTGACTACAAGGTACTCATGAAAATTTACACACAGCGTATGAGGTCATGCGTCGCGGAACTGGTCCACCCAAACCAGTGTGGCTTTGTACCAGGGCGCATAATTCATACTGCAATTGACTTACAGGAGGCAGCAACGGCGTCGGAGCGTTCCAGAGATCCTCGAAGCACTGCCCAAGCACTGCTGCTTGATTTCGAAAAGGCCTACGACTCAATTGACAGGGAATTCATGTTTGCATTGCTGGAAGCGAAAGGGTGCCCGCCCAAAATGCTGACCATGCTGAAGCAGCTCCACGCCAACACGACCGCAACGTTCCTGGCCAATGGATACCCCTCTAAGCCTATTCAAGTTACAAGCGGAATAAGGCAGGGATGCCCCCTGGCCCCTATCCTTTTCATCATTACTCTCGATGTTCTGTACGATATGTTAGAGGCCTGTCTTGAGTTTGAAGGTATTTCCCTGCAGGGCGTAGATGGTGTCACGAAGTTGAAAATGGCTGGATACGCCGATGATACGGCAGTGTACGTGGAGAATGGAGATAAACAACACGTGGTCTTGGAAGTGGTGAATAAAGTCTCTAACTATTCTGGATTACACGTCAACATTGGCAAGTCGGTAGCGTTGCCACTTGGAGCAGCGGAAGATGCTACACAGACACGGCCACCAATCGAACAACCAATTCCAACGGATACCGAATGTCGGTACCTAGGTCACTGGACGGGTGATCTCAAGACAGCGTGGTCCAGAGCCTTCGAATCGCTCACTAGCCGATTGATCCTTGCTAGTAATTCTGTCCTGGATAGGGTCAAGCTCGCTAATGCCCTAATCTTGCCGAAGATTGCCTTCGTTGCGCCTGGCATGCTTGGCCATCGACAGAATTAATCAAGGAAGCAAGTGCCCGGATTAAAAACTTCGTGTAGAAAAGTTCTTTTGCGATGCCTTCAACTCCTATAGCAGGCTGGTTGCAGTGCAAAGTGGCTGAACTTCCCCCAAAACCAAGGTGGATTATCCATGCCAAACGTGGTGACAGAGCTGTTGGCACTTGGCGCTAAAACGGTTGAAGCGTGGGCGCTCACAACGAATACCACAATCAAGCACGCGGGCGACATCCTCCGCCAGGTGCAAGCTGAAGATGGTACGGAGATCTTCTCGCATGTGGTACCAAGACCTAAGCAATTACCTGCGTGGAAAGCGCGTATCACTTCGCGCTTCAGGAGAGACTTGGTTCCAGTATGCGTGCACGTCATCCAGTTCGAACGGTGTCGAGCTTGCGCGAGAAAATCTACGCAATCAATGTAAGCTCAGTCACGGGGTTCGTACGAGGTGGAAAAATGGAGGCCTAGAATGTGATTTATCCTCGCTGCTCGAGGGCCCCGTGGCAGACTTGGGGAAATTATTAAGCAATGAGCATGGGAATTTATAATCGACGGTGTTCTAGACTCTCGCGTCTATGACGTAAGGTATCTGTGTGAAAATACGAGATTCAGTCCCCCGAGCAGGAAATTTTGAGTTGATCTCCGACGAGTCGGGGAGATAGCTACACCCAGATGGATCAAACCTGGAGTAGTGGAATGGTGCTCAGCCAAGTTTCAATACCCAATACCATCCAAGCAAGCGACGCAGTTTCGCGAGTAGCGTTGTCGCTACTCTCGGCATTCCCAGGATTGCTTCGAGCGCCAACCCCGTCTCAAAGCATGCACGTCAAACATGATGCAAAAGGGTGCTGGAAGTTTGTGCTCACGCACAAGCCGGGAACTGCACTCGTTCCGCGCAGTGACACAAACCCCATCCCGATTGGACAGCAATGTTTAGAAGGCGCGATTGCCAAGGTCATCGGCAGCCAGCCTCACCGCACAATTTGTACCAGAGGTCCGAAATAATAATAGCGATCCAATAAATAATTGGGTTTTGCAATACTAATTTTTATTATTGGAGATCTACGATTCCAATACAATACAGTATTGTACCAATTATTGACAATTAATATGAAAAAAGGTTGCACGGCGCCAAACATAGCAAAGTACGTCATAAAATGATAGCTAGGTCTACATACGCAACGATTAAGGCGTAGTAAAAACCATAATGGGCAATCAACATCTTTAGAAACCAATATGTACGCAAGTCAGAACATCAATGACGCCCAGATGTAGTGAATCCTGCCGAACACATCACATCAGGGGACGGCAGCGGATGGCAATCCACTAGGGACTTGAGCTTAATGTTTTGATATAGTGATTACGCCTTTGAGGCAATTGTAGAAGAAAAAGCGAAGTGGGTCCGCGAAGCAGTTGATCATACAAAATGCTTAGTCTGTAACCAGGTGCACACACTATGAAGTGTGTCTGTGTGAAGCTTGACTGGTCATGATGCGGTGAACCCATTACCTGTGGCTCGCGTGGGTCACCGCCGCGACATGCTATCGAGCCCTTAACTGCGGTGATACCAAGGTGAAACCCTGGAATCCACTACACCAGATTTACGATATATAGCAAGATCCAGATATATCTCCCTCACATATTACTACCGGTAGGTTGTTTTAAGCATCCACCATGCAAAGTTTTCTAAAGCAACACCCCAAAAAGTGTTTCTAAACGACTCTGTAATCATATGACGCACAGAAAGTGGTTTATTTCTTCTGTAGAAATGCCTCAAATTGAAGAGCAGTATATTTATATTGCGGCAACTTTTATTATTTCTCCTTGCTGAATTGTAATTTTTATTACGGTCTAATCTCGTACTCAATTCAATATAGTACTGTATTTTCGGACCTCTGATTTGTACTCCTCATAAGTGGATCACGAGGATGTCGCTAACTTGGACAGGAAAACGGAGATGGAGACTAACAACCAAACAATACAAGAAGAAGATAGCAGCCACACGAGCAGAGCAAGGGAGGCTAGTCCTGACGCGGGCCCAAGAAAAGCTGGTTGCAGAAGATGAGATCATTGGAACCGCATTAAACAACATGACGTGGGATCAAATTCGTCACATCATCGGAACAACCACGTATGAGCAGCAGGTCCTGCATAGATTAAAACTTCACGGTTTCAAATGGTGAGGTTTGTATAAGCCACTTTATCCTACAGCAGTAAGTTAATGAGCTAGATACCACCGTCGCTTCCGAGCCTATACATCTCGTCCGCCCGCCGCATAGTTGAAACGGTCCATGCAACTTCTGCCAAAATTCCACACGGGCAGCATCGCGGTCCCTACGCCCCATCGGCGTCGCCTCCCCCTCCCCGAAAACCGAAGTCTTCTCCACTGCACTTGTCCAAGCAGATCTGCGTTCCTTGCTGCCGTATATGTTGCAGGCCATCGTAAAGCGCCCCTGCAGCGCTGTTGATTCCCCAAGGCGCTCCGTATAGCTGCCTTAACACTGCAATTTCTGCCCCGCCGCACCATGAATTTCGCCGGTATCACCCACCCACGTCGCAGACCAGCTCCTTGTGTCGCAGGCCACGTTGACATACAGCATGTCTCCGCTCGTCACTGCGGTACTGAGGATGGGCTGCGCGATGCACGCCCAGCGACCCGGTGACCGGCCAGGACCGCGCACATGCCAGTAAGGCATCAACTTCCAGGTGGGACCACGGCATCACCCGTGGCCTGGTTTCTACAGGGAAACGGCGCGGAGGACAACACGTCCCCCGTGGCCCCCCCCCCCATGGGCCCCGCCTTCCGGCTGACGGTATAACCGCCGCAATATGCCGCCGCACGCAGCGACGCAGAAAACCAGCTTGGTCCGCGGTGCCACCCCCGAGCTGCCCGGCCGTGGCATGCGAGCACACCGGCCAGGTGCACGCCGTCCACCGGAGCCCCGGTCGCCAGGAACGACTGGCTCCACAAGGGAGCCGCCGTCGTCCAGTCGTGGCCAATCAGAGCGCTCCCGATGCTCACCGGCGCACTCTGATTGGCCGGACCGCTGGGTCAGCCGGCTCTATCGCCGGACTGCCCGCTGATTGGCACTCCAGCCGGCTTGAGCTCCACGGCGCAGATTGACGAGTAGATTAAAACTCCACCGCTGTGGAGGGTGGAATGAGGCTTCTAATTCTATGGCCTGCCCCCACGAAATCTGCACAGGGTTAGCAAGTACACCCAGCCACATTTTCTGGTCGTGTACAATCGCGAAGCTGGCTGGGGTAGTTTTCTTGAAGGCTGGAGGTCTGCACATGGAGGACGTGAATTTGGAACGGAAACTTAGATTTTTTCCCTGAAACTCAGGTTGCCGCCGGAACGAATTAGAGCCCACGTCGAAAGATGGGCAAAACATCGATTTGACCGAGACGCGACTAGCTTCTCTTTTGAAGTCGCGAATTCGTATTGGAGAGCAGGTGTTGCCAGTGTAATCAGCTTTATCTGGCGGTTCCGAGTAACTGTCTTGTACTCAGAGACAACCACGAAGTTTGACCAGCACCTCCTTCTCTCTCAGCTAAAAGCAAAACTGCGGCGTAGCTATACGCAAGTTACTATGGATACGCCTTCGACACGGGAAACGTACGCACAGTAGCAAGTCACAAAATTCATCCATGGAGAGCTACTGAAGAATGCGCTCCAGCTGCCAACATCAACGCTGGTGACGCGGCCCCCGGTCGTGGGATTCGCCCATGGTTGCGCTAGAGGTTCTCCCAATATTGGAGGCGGCAGTGGAATACTTTGTGCCGACCCGCACAGCGTAATTTGGGCTACTAGTCTAGTCTTCCCTTCCCCAATGTGTAAATTCAACCTAGCGAGTTTCGTGGCACTTTTTCGTCTCCTCGGTGCAGCTGACAGACTAGGAGTCAAAGGAATTCATGTTGCCGGAGATAATGATCTCGTGATAAGGACGCTGAATACTCGTACTCCCCCCCCAGGCTGCTCGGCTACGGGGTTGGTTTTTTAAATGCAGACACATGGCTGACAAGGTCCGAGTTGAGTCATGGATGCAAACCTCCAAAGCGGCAAACCAGGGTTCGTGTAGTCTGGCAACTGCAGCGGTGGAGTCTGGGCAGACGCTGGAACCAACACCAGAGTACCTCATCTTGACATTCCCCAGAATGCCGCAGCTTCTGCAAGAAGGCCTCGTGGAATGGTCTAATAGAAGGGGAGACGCGCAGGTTCTGCTGGCAGACCCCGAAGAACAGCAAACGAAGACGTAAGTAGTGAGAATCGGCCAAGGGTAAAACCACGGCAGTAGGGTTGTTAGGACTCGGAAGTTACCCAGTTGTCCAATATACCTCATCATCATCATCATACACTCCGTCGTCACTGAAAGTCCGGACAGAGGCAACGTCAGCCTCGAACGTGAAGGAGCAGGCATCTCTTCGCCGTTGGCCTCGATTATTGAAACGATAGTAAACTGGAGATCCTGCCTTCAGCACCGCAATTCGTTCATCAAGCTCCCCACGGGGGCAACCGTAGAGATCTTCTTCAGGGTGCTCACGAGTTTAAGATGGCCGAAAATGCCTCCACATCCTCCTCAGCGATTCTCCCGATAGAAATCAGCGACAGATCCTCCAATGACGACAACGCGCGCGCTCTCTTAGAAAAGAGGCCGTAAGCTAGCCATCTCCACCAGTGTCTGCTACCAGCAAGATCATCATGGCCCATTTGCAAGCGCATGGATGGCTTCTTCGACGTCTGGTTGACTGCTATTATATCGCCTTAATCTCAAACTCCTTCAAGTAATACGGACATTCCAAGTGGACTGTGCCTATCCGAAGTGGGTCCGACCCAGGCCTACTTGCACCGCCCGACGCACTCCGAAATGCATGAGCCATCAGCTGGCCCATTAGCTGCTTCGACGCGGTTTCATCAGATCTGAGCTTGCGATTAATCGATAGCCCCAGTGACAACTGAGAGACGCGAGTATTTTCAACCACCATGTCCTTCACCACTTCGACCATATTCTCGTCGCTGTGGTATCCATTAAATTCCGCAATCACCGGTTTCAGCACGAAGGTGCAGCATAAGCACCCTGAAGTCACATATTTCTTCCTTCGACTTTGTTGGTACTGCAACGTGTTTAGCCCCACACGCTCGGGGTTGGTCGCGACCGTGCTGATGCGGTCTGAAGTCCGTCTGGCCGTCGATGTCAAAACGTATGACACCGCACCGGTGGGTGTCCGACTGACAGCCGCACCTATTTTATTTAGATGAACTAGTCGCGATATCTGCTACCGTCTAACTACAATGCACGTCTTCATGCCGTGCACGAACTGAGTTCCGATCTTCTCGCCGTCTCTAGCCACTCGGGTGTACGCCCACTCGTGCCTACCCGACTCGTCGCAGCCGTCGAGAGACTTGGAAGCCACGTGCTTCCTCGTTCGTCACTCCGCCGTCGTCCACTGCCGTGTAGCCATCCACCGAGTCCGTGGTGGCGTCTAGCCACGCTTCGTCCACATTTCGTCCGTTCGTCTCACCCGAGCGCGCTGTTGCTGACTTGTCCGGCTGCTCGCTAGCCGTCCAAATCGGAAGTGAGCTCACATGTCGAGCTCGCAGTACTCGTGCTGCCTGAGGGGCCGGGGTCCAGTGTTGCCGATCCTGTCGACCACGCTGTCCGCTGGATGCACGTCCCACTCCTGCACCAGCTGCAACACCGCCAATTGGCGTCGCGGCCGAGCTCGCTCGTGCCCGTGGCGTCCACTTCCTTACAGTACGCTCTCCATTGCTCCTCCACTCTCTTCTCCGCCGCTCTGATGTCTCTTAGCAAGTGTTCACACTTACCCTTACCGGTAAGACTTACCCCCGGATAATTTACGGAAAGTAAGCGGGAACTTTTTTTAGGTTAGACTTAAGATGCGGGATTGAATCAACTGAGAACCCTCTCACCAGACTGGTGACCAGTCGGCACTAAGCACCTTTCTCCCGTCCACGCAATTTAAGCTGACGCGGGGAACAGTGACGCTCTACGTGGCACTCATTTCCACGAGTCTATCGAGCTCTGAGCGCAGCAATGGCCATACATATTATGGTGGAGGTGGGACGATACTCTTGTCTTGTTGACAAGGCTAACCTACAACAGTAGCCCTCTTGCGCAATGCGTTCGACGGCTTCAACGGCGGGTCTCCTTATGCCGAAATTTCCTGCTGAGTAGGTACACAACAAGAGAAAGGTCACAGCTCTGTCCATCTGTTTGGTACGCTGGATGCGAACGTATTATCGAAGATTTTCCCGTTTGCAGCCCCTGCACTTCTTACTTGGGAATACTGTACATGTATCCTGTTCCCGTGCCAATGCTGATGTAACTTCTTGTCCTGGTACTGTACTGTACCTTCCGCCGTGTCATCATTTCTTTTTCGCATGTGGGAATTTACGGATTGGCGTCCAAAGTTGTGTTTATCGCCTCCAAGGGATCTTATTGGAGCAGACCTTTAAGCATTCATGTCGTCTATACTAGCGATCTGGATCGTCCCTCTGTGCTCGAGGCGACTAAATCTACCCTGATCCATCTGAAGCCCTGTACAAGCACATCCGAAGACGTGATAAAACTAACAAAATAAGTGATTGTGACGAGACCAGCGCTTCCGGGGTCCCTAAGTCTCATCACGCCGTTCCTGCCGCGCTTCATCGACGGAAGGCTTCATGCTGCCATTAGCTTCTCCAGCGGTCGAATAGCAGCGGCTGGCGTGGAGGCTTTTGTTAGTCGTTGCAGTTGGTATGGATTATGGAGGCAAAGGACCCAAGCTGGAATCCAGCGCCTAAAGATCCCTTCGGCGATAGGCCTTTGTCATGTACATAGATACTGTATACGAAGGTCCTCGTACAGCCGAGTACATGTATTACAATACATGTACATATCGCAAGGGAACGCATCGATTGCAAAGATCGATTATGGTGGCATTCATCCGTTTGTGGAGTGCATAGACTAAATACATGCGGGATTGAATCAACTGAGAACCCTCTCACCAGTCGGGACGGCACGGAAAGCACGTTTCTGAACAAGTTGAAGACCCCCCCCCCCAACGCACTTGGAGTTGACTCGGGGAGTAGTGACGCTCTACGCGGCAATCATTTCATCGAGTCAATCGACCTCTGAAAACAGCGATGGCCATTTAGTGTTCTTGGTGCCTGCATCAAGCGTCGAAATCTGCACTGTAGGGCCTACAGCGTAGGCATCTTTCGGTGTACGGGACCCGCATCTATGAGACGAGGTTCAAACTTCAGACTGTACTGTACACTCGTGATAGTCACAATCCCATAGGAAACTTCAATGAAAGGGGCTGCATCAAGCACCAAGTTGGTGCTTGATGCAGCCCCGGCCCTTGGTGACCAAGGGCTCCTCGGGTGTCTCCTTGGCAAGGAGATCACGTACGCGCTGAGGCCCTCTACTTACCGGTACAGTATTTGCACACCGGCAGCGTTGCACAATGGAGGTTTGTTGAGGAGGGCACGCCGCCGCAGCACCGAAAGGTAACATGGCGCAAGACCAATGCCTGTCCCATCTATTGTTCACAGGTCGAAGAGCTGTGCTTGGCCGGCAGAAATTTTTTGTAACTTACCGAAACCGGGTATATTCTATCTAAAATAGGGGAAATGTTAACCTAAACAAGTACATCTAAAAGCTTTGAATGGCTACAAGTATTACTCTGCATCTCAGCGGTTGTTTGCTAACTTTCACACTAAAACCTAAGGTTACCACTAAATGCTATGATGCTATAATTCATTTTTGTGCTAAGGATTTCACGACTACACTATGCTGCCGTTCCATGTTTGGCGAGCGTGTCTAATGTGAGACGATGCACTAAGCTTTCAACACTTGAGGCGTACAGCTTACGTAGCTCAAGCTAGCAGACATGATAGCACGAGATATTGCCAAGCGTTGCCCAGCGATAAAGTATGCTTCAGCGGACTCGGAGGGTGTTAATAATATCTTCACTGCAGATTTGGATAACTGCATGTTATTATAGGTGGGATTCTGTACCATAACGAGCTCTGGTTCGAATGTAGACGATGCGATGAGTTGCGCAAATTAAAATAAAAAGAGAGAGCGATCTATCTGCCTGTTGGATGAGCTCATTTTGCGAAACTCTGACGATTGACTACTAAGGCTTCGCGGGTGCTGCGATAGCTCGTCTAGACTTGTCTAATCTGCATTGCAAGCGACTTCGGTGCGCCGCACATGCTGCGCTCCAGTCACTCTCTGGATACTTAGATACTTCCCCCACTCAATACGATAGTGGCATCAAAATTCATAGCAGCAGGGTTGCGTGCTTTAGCCCTGTATGGGGAATGAGCACTTCTCTTTCCGTGTGAAATTGATGTGGACTACATACATCACTTTTTTTTTGGGGGGGGGGGGGGTAAGAGGTCCTCTATTTACGTTTAACGAGAAACTATAGAGTCCTGGATAGCTGTAGGGTGTACATACATCACTTTGTGAATCTATCTGCGAATATCGGTATCTATCCGGGTGCACTTCAACTTGAGTACCCTTAGCTTCCGGCTAAGTTTCGATGTACCAATATATCGATTACGCATGTGAAATCTCAGGAATGGTTTCGAGCAGTGAGCTACCAAAACGTTTCGTGCTTTTGACGATCTGCAGTAGCTTTAACTCTCTCTCTCTCTCTCTCTCTCTCTCTCTCTCTCTCTCTCTCTCTCTCTCTGTATATCTAGCTAGCTTAGCTCAATAGTTTGTGAGTGGATACCACGGTTTTGATCCGACCCAGAGCATTTAATTTTGTTCAGTTTTGAGGCCAAAAGCTCGTCCTCAGTATCTTCTTAACGTAGTTCAAGAACTCGACTTAGTCGACTGTCAGCAAACGATTTATTTAGCAACTATTCATTCTTGCCAGTAACGTTATCCTGCTACTGTAATGTTCATCGATTGATTTCTGAAGCCTTATTAACAGAAATGGCTCCAAGTCGGGTTCGCATACAAGATTAACTTGCGATTTGAACATGTTTCGCTGAGATTATTACTGGTAAATACCAGTTCTCTGGATTTTATCCAGAGTCCATGGGTGAAGGCCACTGAGGTGCCATTATTCTCACATCAAATACCTGCTAAATATGGGTTTGAGCGCTGCTGATGTTTATAGCTAAAATACCTGTTATACTGGATAGCCTGCGATCTAATCAAATTATGCTGCTATGTTGACCCATCCGGTTGAGATTAAGTCAAATTACCTATTATTTTGCATACCCTTTAATCAAGTATATATACCTGTGATAGATAGCTTATCCGCCACTCAAGCGACATCCATCGGATTTTTTTTCGCTCCAACAACATGCCGACGGGATCCCGCCCCGGTTGCTAGAGGGGCATTGCTTCGAAAAATGTTGTATCTTCGCTTCTCAGCACCGCCAAGTATCCTATACACACTCATACTTTTACCAAATTGGTTTCAAAAATATATGCACGAAGTGCCGGGTTTGCATCAGATTTTATTAAAATGACCGGGCTTGGAGTTTATAATATGGAAAACGGTATAGGCAGCACGGGGACCGATGCCACGAGCAAGCGCAGCGAGCACTGGTAGACAGCGCGCGTGTTCCCAACGTTGCAACATGCTGATCAACTAGAACTTGCATGTCCGAGTCATCCGTCGCCGCCATAAATGAAGACAGGAAAGAGGCTTGACGTAACAGCAAGGGATCTCGTGCCGCATCTCGTAGCTTTCGACCTCTTTCAACCGTAAATCAATGTATAGTCTTTTGCTTAGTCCTGGTTTCCATGCTACAGTAGTAAATAAACACTTTCCGAATCATTATAAGTGGCTTTGGCGTTGCCACCGTTGGCCGCTGAATCGATTGCAACAAATTTCCGGGTGGGCATCGTTAAATATCACCCACAGTACCAGGCTAAATCGTGCTCGAGCATTCAGCAAGCCAATATATCAGTACATAGCTTATTTAACTACCTGACAGTAGCCGAAAAAAAAAACTAAAATATCACTCAAACCAACGCTTACTGATTATCTTATCCACCATATCATCGTCCATAATAAAACCCAACCTGCTCAACATGAATTCAATCAGCTGGACAACGTTAATGGTGATCATGCAGTAAGGCGATCGCTAACTGAGTAAGATGGAATCTGTACTTCCAGCCGACCGATCAAGTGCACGAATTAAGACCGTTTGATACTGAATAGGAAGGTACAAAACATCATTTGGTTATACTTCGGTAGTGTGACCCGTACGACCCAAGGGCATCTCATGAGCCTGCTTTATATTTAGGACAGATTATTAGGAATTCGACTATTGTAGGTACGCACAGGGGGAGTTCAGACTGGCCTGCGCATCTAGTGGCGGATAGGTCCTCAAGGATTGTGCCCGAGGGTACAAGAAATCCGCGTATGCGGTCACCTTGCCGTATGCATTAACTCGCGAACGCAACACGACACGAACCAAAGCCCAGTCACATGCGCCGGGTGGCAGCTCGGGCACAAACGCTCGCCGTCAAGATGCGGCTACACCAGCGCTGACAAGCTCAGCGGGACCGACGAAACGCCGCCCTGCTCGGAGAGCCTGAAGATAACTGCGACCAGTCCACACCTTCTGCGATCGATGACTATCAAGGTGGGGAAATGGACACGGAGATGATCTCAGCATCAAGCGATGAAGATGTGGACATGGCACGCCATCTTGAAACGGGCTTCAAGAGAATTGAACGCTCGTTCGCGGACAAGAAACCGTTCGCGGAGCTCGACACTGTCGACTGCGAGTTTGACGATTTCCAACCGGATGCTCCCTCAGACATGACTCCAGGGTTTCTGATGGTACCGATGATAAGTCGTCCGACGCCTTCGCAAGAACCTCAACCTACGAAACGTCGCTCTGCGATTTAAACAAGCCCGACAAGCTGAAAGCTGCAGCGGAAGATGCCGTTCTCGTCGACGCCACTGAAGCCCAGCTTGAGCAGCGTGAAGATCGGATGACCCAAAACATGCAACACCTCGACTTGGTGGATAATCTACTAAGTGATACGAAAAACATGGATAAAGTGGTTGAATCCATGCGAACGTTCCCTACTGCGTGGTCGACAGTGATATGCAGTGACCTAAACGATGGAGGCGTTAACTTCTGTGAGCTCGCCGATATCCACCTGCTAGATCGCATCCTTGCCGCCAACATGCACAACGCCAAGATGGCCTTCCACGAACGCGTGGAGGCATCTCAACTGCCGTTGGGGAAAACTCGCACAACCTACATGAAGTGGCTGGGTGGAGCACTGGATGGTCAGCCTGACCAAGTGAAAAACCAGTGGGAAATTTTCCGCTTGCTCAGCTCCTTTGAGTTGCTGGTCATGAGCACATGCCCGTTCATATTTGGATCTAATGAATGATTGAAGTCTCTTGTTGTCGATGCTGAAGACGGAATTCCACACGCCCATGTGAAGATGCTATCTGATGCTACAATCCTTCGGCTGCTACGATCTGCCTTAGGGCAGCAACTGCTAGAAAAGCTGCTTGAGCTGGTACCCAACTGTGGTGTGCTGGGGCGCATTGAAAACTTGCGCAACAGCGAACGACTGCCGGAGGAATTGCTTTCAGTGACTTTGGATTGCCTGTCGCCCAGTGTAATGGCGAGCACTGACAACTAAGATGGTCATGGGAGTTGACGTCGGCCAGTCATGTAAAATATTGACTTGGAATGTACATGGAGTGCGGACAGGTGGGCACAACATCATCTCGTCGCAAGTGAAGTACTATTATTTTTCGAGTCGCAGACTACTGCTTTCCCTCGAAGCGGAGGAGTGGCGACAATTATTCATGGCTCGTGTCCTGGAGTGGATGGTCGTATCCAAAACTATTCCGAACAGATATTTGCAGGTCCGGTTGAGCTGGAGTGATCACACATGTTATATCCATACTATCTACGCACCAAATGATGCAGCGGCCCGAAAGACATTGTTCCAGCGCCTTCCCGTGGACTTTGATGAAGATGCAATCCATATTGTGTGTGGAGATTTTAATTTAGCGTTAGATCCGGAGGTGGACTCGATTGCGGACGACCGGCGTTCTGATTCAAGTGTGGCGCCGTTACGTGCGTGGTTAACGGAGCTTAATGTAAACTATCTGTCTGAGAACAACCTTGCAGAGCTTTCACTTCCAGGATAAAATTACTAAGAAGAAAAATGGCCTCCCAGCCAAAGCGCAGCAACCTTGCTTTTTTGCAAAAGAAGAAAATGCAGGTTTTGCATTGAAAATGGAATTACATATGCTAGCGAGCAGGCTCGGATAGCCATCAACGAGAAAAAAAGTTGCCTAGACAAGTGCATCATCGAACAGAAGGTCGAGTTTTATACGATGTGACTTGCGGAAGTAGACTTTTCGGAGAACCGGATCTGCAGCGAATTCTAAAACATTCGTCAACACGTGCTGGTTCAGCGGCTTCGCTATTCTTGCTCCAGTTTGTGTCTGTCGTTTCTTGCTCTTCTCTGCCAAAGTTGTCGGCATACAGACGCTCAGGAACGCGAGTTTGCTACCCAGCAATAACGGATTGAGCGTGCGACAGATGGGCTTGAGATGTTGGACTCGGAAGCATTGCAGGTACTGGTCGTATACAGGATGTGTAACTACTTCAAGATATTCCAGGTACTTGCTTCCCTCCAGCATCTTCAGCAGCGAATTGAAGTCGCGTGCGGTGTCACGTTCATGGTCGCTCCTTCGCACAGATCCTCCAACTTCATCTGAAAAATGCTTCACACGAACTCGAACCCGACGCGCGCACTTGGCAAGCGGATTATCGTTGTAAGCGAGGGCCGCTGCGAATTCTGAAATTGAGTTCCAGTTGAAACGCAGCTGTGGCAAGGAGTCACCCTTCGCGTGGTAGTCGCTGAAGTCCAGGCGAGCATCCACAACCCCTCCGACCAAGATGAGCTACACTGGAGGACAGAGGCCAGATCGCCTCTCGGTGCATCTAACGTTAAACGTTTTAACGAAGCCCCCACCGCTCGAAAGAAGATCAAAAGGCCATCCGAGATTGTAGGGCGCTCCTTGTAAAATCGAAGTCGGAGAAAGGCTATACGTCCACCTCTGGAAGTCATATCGCCATTGCTGTTGAATACCAAGTCGTGTCGTTGTACTCGGCATCGACCGTATCCAGGAACAATAGCCTCAACCCACGTGCTTCTGCCATCGTCACTGAAGGTTCGGACGAATGGTACTGGAACATCAAATGTAATGGCTTGAGGATTTCGTTGGGTTGCCCAGGACACATCGAACGAGCGACCAGCTCTTAGTGTCGCATCTCTTGGCTTCAATTCGCCTGGGGGGAGTCAAATAAGTCTGCTTCTGGGTGTTCAGACTTCAAGATGGACGTAAACCCTTCCATGTCATTGACACTCATGCTGGTCACTAACATGAGCGCCAGCGACTCTAAAGACGAGTACGCTCGAGCTCTCTTCGAAAAGAGCGCATACGCCAGCCACTCCCAACACTTTCGGTTCTTCTCCTGGTCTCGTATGTCCATCCCGAGCAGCATCAAGAGCTTCCTCGACACCTGACTGTGTACCATTGCCGAGCACATGGCTCCAATGTCGCGAATCTGCAGACTCGGAATCCAAGTAATTTCGATCGCTCCCAGCTGGAGCGGGCGTGGATCACCCACTGTGCAGTCAAAAGCGGGATGGTACGCTGTATTTACGAGCTCCGGAAGCCGGCGAGTAGAGCTGAATACACTTGAGATAAGCTGCCCGTAAGATTCCAATGACGGCATCAAACGATCTTCAAAACACATCGACAGCTGAGAGAGCCACGAATTCTGGAACAGCAAGTTCTTAATCGGCGGTGTCAGCTCGTCACTCATATCGATACCGGTTAAGTTGACAATCATCCGCTCCAAAAACAGAGTGCACCTCCGGGAGCTGGAGCTTTGTTCTCATGAGACGCAGAATACTTCTCCCACTGCTCCTTCACAATCCTCTCGGCGGTCGCGACATCAGCAAGTGCTTCAGTGTAGAGCTCGTCACCAGTAACTGAGAACTCCACACGCACAGGAACCTCAAAGTCGCAGCCGGATTTTTTCCACTGTGAATTTTTGTCGAGAGCAGCAATTCGTTGCAGCGTTTCCTGGTATTCTGCACTGGGGTGGAGACGCTGGTGCGGTCCACATAAGAACACCAAGTCGTACTCGTGCGTCTCGAAGTCGTTGGAGTCACGTAGAGTGTCCGTTATGGACTGTTGATCCACAGTCATCACATCGAATCGGGATTTTTTCTTCATAATCGGCCTCTCCTTCGGCGCCGAAGTCCACTGAGCAGTGCTTCTCCAGCAAATACCGCCACGCATCATAATCCACGTAAGCCACAGCAGCCAGCAGCGCCATGGCCTCCCTCATCTTCTGGAATCTTTTTCGAAACTCGGCTTCAGTATCCAAATGGCTCGACGAGGAAAGATTCTGGTCCACAACCTGTCGCGTAGGCAGCAAGACACACAAACCGCGTTGAATGAAGTGCGACGAGCTGAAATCATCCTCCTTGTAGCCCACTTGGTGCTCCAGTGCGCCGCACCAATGCTCCATAATTGGGATTTTCTTCCTTCTGCTTGCTAGTTATACGTCGCAATACGATACGCATTGAACTGAATTTCCCCTTCCATTGACTGGATCTGATATCACGAGCTGTCAACAACGTCCTCCCAGTTTCCTAGACAAGTGCATCGTCGAATATGAGCTCGTACTTGATCCGGTGCGACTTGCGGAAGTAGACTTCTCGGAGGACAGGGTCTGCTGCAAATTCAAAGATATGCGTCAATACATGCTGGTTCAGAGGCTTGATCAGGCTTGCTGCAACCGTTCGTCCCTGGGTCCGTCTTGGTCTCTTGATCTCATCAGAAGCATTACAGGTCGGCATGCAAATGCTAAGGAGCGCGAGTTTGCTCCGCCGCGATACTGGTCTGAGCGTGCGCGAGATCGGCTTGAGATGATGGACTCTGAAGCTTTGCAGGTACCGGTCGTAGACAGGATGGGCAACGACTTCGAGGAATTCCAGGTACTTGTTTGCCTCCAGCATCCTCAGCAGCGCGTTGAAATCATCCAGACGCCGCGTTCGTGATCGCTCAACCGCACAGGTTCTTCAACTTCATCCGAGAAATGTTTCACGCGAACTCGTATCCGACGCGCACATTTGGCAAGTGGGTTGTCGTTGTCAGCAAGGGCCACTGAAATTTCTGAAATTGATTCCCAGTTGAGATGCAGCTCTGGCAAAGACTCGCCGATTGCCTGATAGTCGCTGAAGTCCAGTCGAGCATCCACGACCCCTCCTGATAACGCAAGCTCCTCAAGGTTTGGGCAGCACTGAATGATCGAGGACAGCTCTTCTCTCGGTGCATCTAGCATTAGATGCTTTAACGAGGATCCGATGGCACCAAAGAAGAGCGCCAAACCGTCAGAAACTGAAGGTAATTCCTTGTAAAAGCGAAGCCGGAGAGAGGTGATACCGCTACCTCTAGCAGCCGTATTGTGATTGCTGGTGATTGCATCGTCGAACACCAAGTCGCGCCGCTGCACTCGACATCGACCGTAGCCTGGAACGATACTATCAACCCACGTGCTCTTGCCATCATCACTGACGGTTCGGACGAATGGTACTGGCGCATCAAAAGTAATGGCTCGAGTTTTGGCTGGACCATCCAGAACACATCGAATGAGTGAGTCGCGTCTTAGTGTCGCGTCTCGCGCTGTCACTAAACCCGGGGGAGAGCCAAATAAATCTTCTTCTGGGTGTTCAGACGTTAGTATCGATGTAAACGCCGTCATGTCGGACACACTCATGCTGCAAATTATCATGAACGCCAACGACTCCACAGACGAACACGCTCGAGCTCGCCTCGAGAAGAGAGCGTAAGCCAGCCACTTCCACCGCTTCTGGTTGCTTTCTTGGTCGTGTGTGTCCATCCAGAGTCGGATCGACAATTTCTTTGACTTCTGAGAGTGTACCATTGCGGAACACATCGCTCCAATGAAGCTAACCCGCAGACCAGAGATCCAATTAATCCCAATCTCGCCCAGCTGGAGTTGACACGCATTATCGCCAACAGAATCAAAGTCAGGATGGTAGCTTGTGTTCGCGGTCTTTAGGGGCCGGCGGGTGCTATCAAACACGCTCGAAATAAGTTGCCCGCAAGATTCCACTGAGGGTATTCCACCGTCACCAAAGCACAAAGACAGCCAAGAAAGCCACGTGTTCTGACGCAGCAAGGCCTTGATCGTCGGCCCCGTTTCGTCGCACAAGTCGTAACCATTCAAGTTGGTAATCATCCGTTCCAAAACAAAAGTGCATCTCCATTCTCCAGGCGCTGGGGCTTTGTTGTCACCAGAGAGGAGATACTCGTCCCACTGCTCCTTCAGGATCTTCTCCGCTATCCCAGCCTCAGCGAGTTCTTCCGAGCATTCGCTGTCGTCGGAAGGAGCAAACTCCACCCGCACTGGAACCTCAAAGTTAAAGACTGAGTTTATTCGCTGGAGATCGTGGTCCAGCGCAGCAATTTGCTGCAGCGTTTTACGATATTCAGCGCTCGAGTGAAGGCGCTGGTGCGGTCCAAAGAATAAAACCATGTCGTACTCGTCCGTCTCGGTGTCGCGGAATTCACGTAAAGTTTCTGTTTGGGGCTGCTGGTCTAGAGTTATCACATACCGAATAGGGATTTTTTCCTCGTATACGGCTTCTCCTTCGACGCCAAAGTTCACTAAGCAGTGGTTCTCCAGCAAGTACCGCCACGCATCATTGTCCACGTGGGCCACAGCAGCCACTAGTGCATGGCTTCCCTCGTCTTCTGGAACTGGTTTAGAAACATTTCTTCTCGTAGCGAGACGCACAAACTCCACTTCATGAAGGGCGAGCCGCTACACTCGGAGCCAGAGTAGGCCACTCGGTTCTTCAGTGCGTCGCACCACGGGGCCAAGAAGCCCCAGCGCTGCTCCATCTTGTCCTGTCTTCTTTAGTGGGGCGGAAATTTGGAAACTTTAATATATTATGAGGAAACGTTGCAGATAGGAATACCCTCTCAAGAGTAATATTGGAGCTGATATTTCCTAGTTCCCAGTTTCCTAGTTATACGAGCTAGTTTGCGGGTTGGTTCCGGAAGAACGTCTGCAGGTACTTCTCGTACATGGGGTAGCTGGGGCTCTGCGGCGCCTTGGCGCCCAGCTTGTCGAGGCGCAGAGACTTGTAGACCGTATCGGGACTCGCCTTAAAGTTGGTCCAGCGCTGGAGCAGCGCCTCCGTGTACTTCTCGTACAGTTGGTAGTTGGGGCTGCTCTTCGCACTCGCGCCCAGCTTGGTCAGCCCCAGCTTGCTGTACACTTGGTCAGGGTAGACGGACGACGACTTCAGCCACTTGGCCAGGAACTTGTCCTGCTGGGAGGCCATCCACTTCTTGAGCGCGGCCTCCTTCTGGGTAGTGAGCTTGCCGTTCATGAGCTTGTTAGCTGTGCGCCTCATCCGCCACAGCTGGACCGTGTTGTAGCCAAGAAGTCGCTCGTCTTCGTCGTCCGGCAGATCGACGACGCTCGCCACAGCGGTACGAAGGTGGCGGGCGTGTTCGTTGGTGGTAGTCTCGAGAACTCGGCCGGCGTCCGCCTCCACGAGGTTGGTGCAGGCCAGAATGAACGCCAGTGCGAGCAGCAGAGTGAAGTATGGTCTCATAGCTCGAAGAGCTTCACTTCGTGGCTTCCGGCGCGTCGGTGAAGAATCTCGTAGTGCTGAGATGCACGCGGCAAATTGAGGAATGGACGAGGGACTGTAGCCATCGGATCTGTATACGGACGCTGGTGCGCCTGCTCGGCATCATTGCGCGCTCAGATGTTCCTGCGGGAGGAACGCTGCATGAGTTCTTGCAGTTCCTGCGTAAACTTAGGATGTGCTGAATGACGTTCCGATCAGCTTCATCTTTTCGCCTTTGTATGGGATTGATCGGCTTACTGGAGCTCACAGCATGGACTTGATCAAATTTTTTTTCTACGGAAACAGGTGTTGCACGAACACCATGAATTGTACATGCCTTGTCATTACGGTAGGTATTGTGTGAATTTACTGCGATGCCGTAAAATAGCCCTGGAAGTTCCAGGGCCACACAATTCTCTGTGCACGCCTGCGCATGGAAATGCTCTTCGCATCTAATTTTCTCTTAGCCACCAGCGCTCCTATTATAGGTATACATGTAGCCGGTAACCAACCAAGATCGCTACAGTAGTAATCACGCTTCCCCATGATAGCGAGCACATCAAGCAAGCAGGAAACTTTCCAAATT